GAGGATGAAGTGAGGAAAACAGAGATGCTTGTATTGAAATTGCAGATATGGTATTTCACTGCCTGACACTGCTTTTTTACATTGAAATTTCATCATGCTTGTGTACTAGCATTCCTCTTTAGTATATGCTTCAATTGATTTAGACCAGTTTTCTTCTTAGCTTCTGTGAAGAATTTCTTCGATGTGGTGCTGCTGTCATTTTTCTGGTTCATGTTACATATACTCTTGTGATATTTGTGAAATGATGCAGTTTATTATGGTTTTTCTATAGTTTTCCATCATTTTGGTTTGTGGTGTTTGCTATGCTAAGTGAGAGTCCATGTAGTATTGTTGCAGATCCTGGGTTTGATCTTCATTAGCTTCTGTGCTCCTGGACATTCTTCTTGTAATATGTGTATCATGTTCTTTGTGTTTGGAGTGTTGGAAACTGGCAATTCACTATGAATATCACTATGAATGAAGCTTCCTTTTACGTGTCAAGTTCTTACATTTCGTCAGGAGCATATAATATTAAATCTTTCAGTCGTACTTGTTTAAGTGGCTTGTGCTAGTTTCAGGTGGGTTGGTTAGTTTGTTTGGGAGAAGGGGTTGAAGTACATGTTTGCAATGAATCAGTCTTTTAATTATTCATTTCATTCCTTCAAACTGAAAGACTGTAATCTGAAGTCATTCTGTAGTTGATACAGTGTACTAAAAGAAAGTAGGGGAAAAAAACATTTCCTCTGCACAGCTCATGTAAAACAGAGCCATTACTCAGACTTCTCTAATAAGCCCAGGCACACAACTATGAAAATGAGTTAAATGAAAGCTATTAATATGCATACAAGCATTAAGTGTTACAAAACCAGCTTTGGTGAAGAACAGTTACCTGGTGATACTGTTGCTTGCACATGCACTGTGAGCTTTAAATCTTGTCCATCTGGCATTTCTTCCACAGTTTTAACTCTGAGGCTTTCAGCTAGATCACCTTCCCACTGAGTGTCTTCTCTTATTTGATTTTGTTCATGGTAGCCCATGTGTCTAGGGAGTCTAACAGAAGACTCTTTTCTCCAGTACACAACTTCTGGGTATCACACTTTGTAGTGCTGAATGCCTGGTCCCAAACTGGCCCATTGCCAAGCCCCTTCATCACCTTGTTCCTTAGCAGACAGTGGGGTATGAATATGGATTAATTAGACTCCAAACAGGAGGCTGGAAAGTGAGGGCAATTGATAGAACAGGGCAGATGCGTATCTGTCCTCATACCTTTTATGAGGTCTTTGTGGCTGCCAGAATCCCAGGTGTTAGACAATATTTGCCCAGAGTTGCTCTACCTGCATGATTGTGAGGTCCATCCATTGCAGCCCGAGGCTTTCCAAAGAGTGATATCCTCAGACTGCTCAATGCTGTGTAGGTGGATACACCCTGCTGGGAATTGGGTTCTTTGATTAAAACAATGGGCACATGCAAAGTTAACTACAGTGGCCATCAGTTGTCTCCTGAGTGCAGTCTAAGTTCAGGGCTTGATAGGCTAAAGGCTAACAATAATTATTTGAAAGATCACTTTGCATGTATTACTGTGTCACGTTAATGCCTTTTGGAGGGTTCTAAACAGACAAGCATTTTGTTTAACTTGAGTTGCCAATTGGTGGGATACTGCCACAGAAGAGTTTACGAGTTCCAAACATCATCTCATCTTAGTGTGCAAACCTGATGACTAATTAACGGACTGTTCTGGGGCAAGGAGGTTGTGTTGTCCTTGAGTGTGAGGAGTAGGACAGTGATAGGCTAAGATACTCCTTTGCAGATGTAGGAACTGAAACAGAAAGCTGTGGTGGTGGTGTTTGAAGCTGATAGTGTTACTCTGTTAGCTGATTTTGTTACCCAATGACCCACTATGTTTTAGCAGTAATTACAACTATTGGGCTACTCTTGTTGAGTGGCTTGACTGTGCTTTTTGTGTGAATATTTGAATATATACTAAAATTTCCCAGTATATACATATGGAACGGTGTTCACTAGTAAAGGTACTGGCTACATTTAAGCAAGTTATCTGCATTCCTGCTTTTCATTGTTTTACAAATTTTTTATGGTCTATTTTTGTCTGTATAGTTCTCTTGATGTTATAAAACTAGACTTTTGATCTTTGGTCAGGGACAAGGTTTTCATACTGATTTAAGGACATTTTCAGTAAAAATAGAACTGAATAGTTCAGATAGTTGTTACCCACTCATGCTGGGCTTGGAGAAACATGTTAAAGGTACTGTGCATTTCTGTGACCTCTTATATTTGCAGTGGATTGAGACAGGTCCTTAATTTCTCTTCCCTTTTTTTGTCTTTTCCACCCCCACCACCCAGTCACTGATATTCCTCCGCAAAGACTTAAAATACTTGGGATGACAGCGCAGTACGTGGATTTGTAACATTCTTTAGAAGCAAAGTACTGCAAAACAGTGGAAATGAGATTCTCTGTGTGTATTACTTGCCCAGGAAATGTAAATGGGGAATGTAAGGGAGTTCCTGGGGACAAAAATGCAGAGTGAATGCTGACCTTTAACTTCACTAAAAGGCAAGTTGAGTTCCATGCATTTCTCCATTTCTCTTGTGTTATGCAGTTAACCACCAGGTATCCACCTTGACATTAGAATATTAGCCTTTAAAAGCTCATCAAGTAAATCTGTAAATCAGGATTTATTTAAATTTTAGGACCTTAGCAGTGTTTTGCATAGGATGACACACCAGATAGATGAACATGCTGCAGATTGTATTCATTCAGGCAAATTACAATGTAAGGACCACATTCCTGATCACTAGTTACTTACTCCGGAATAGTGAGAGGAACTGCATAAAATGAACCACTTGACAGCTCAGTCTTCAGGGAGATTTTAACTGTGAGGAAGGGCAAATAGCCGCTCTTTAGTCAAAGGTTTAGGGCTTAGACCATGTGGCCAGGTAGACAAAGTTAAATTATCTCTAGGCCAGGGTCATCTTCTTAGCTTTCCTGGGTTGAGGTCTTTCCACTCACTGTAAATCAGTCCAGTAGCTCCATTCAACTGATCTACTGACAAGTGAATGATTAACCAAAAACTATCAAGCAGACAGAAGCCGAACGCTGCTAAACAACTGCAACATAAAATAGCTCTTGAGTACAGATTACCTGATTAAATTATTTGCCGATGAGTTATTCTGACTGAAGTTCAGAAGCATTCTGCTCTGGGGTTCACCATGAGAAGTGCTAACAAAGCTTCTTTCAAACCTCTCTATGAATGTAAGGCAAATACCTTGCCAGATCTGAACAAGCAAGAGAAGGCTGTTGCTACAATGTAGAGCCTCAGGTTTAGCAGTGCCTACCCAAAAATGCAGGTAAAAATACAAAACTCAAAAATCAGGAAAGGGGAGGGTAGAATGAGAAAATTCCTCATTTCTTCCTGTGCATACTCTACTGAAATGGAAGCTTGTGATCCAGTTGACTTGTAACTTGCGCATACACAGTTACAACACACTAATCCAAACACTGACGTATTTTAAAAACTGCCAGACTGCTTCTCTGATTTGTTTTTGGAGAGTGCTTGGATGACTGTCAGAGCCTGACACATGAGTGTAGTATTATGCAGGAAAACTTATGCAGCAGGAGTGCTCAGAAACAGGATCTTCGGAATCACTCCTTGCCAGATACTTGCCAATACCTGTGACTGTTAAAATGAGCACTGTCATGACCCGTCAGGCCCAAATACGAGTCTTGTGAAGACAGGCTTGTAGAACATGAGGCTTCTCCATAATCAATAGAACAATTCCTGATGAAAACCTGTGGGGTTCTGGAGGCACCCAGGTGTTACATCAGTTAAGACAGTGAAATGGGCTGCGGTGTTTTCATACTTGCTCACTCTTTACATGGCAGTTGAAATCCCAAGAAACATTTCAGGTATTTATAGGGAGGAAGCTAAAATGGCACAGGCTTTTAACTCATCCTGAGTGTTACCATTTGTATTGGATATTCCCTGCCTCTGAAGCCCTGTCTGAATGTTTGAAAGCATAGCAGATCCTCAGTAAACATGAGGTTTTAACTTAATGGGTGTGGTGGTCTGTTCTGTTAAACCGAATCCATGCTAACTCCTGTCTGTCCCACACTTCTAGATGTAGTTAACAGAATAAAGCATGAGTGATACTGCCATTGAAGGATCTTTTTTTTCCTGGAATTTTCATTTTTATAATTGTTTTATGGCCTCAATTTGCTCAGGAAAAACTTACCAAGTTACACTTTATTTTAAGAGGTCTAGTTGAATTTTAACTGGGGCATTGAAACTTATCCGAAATTTCAGAGGGTGCAGAAATAGTTCCCTAAATAGTGCTAGATATTACACATACCTATCTCATTTTTCCTGTGTCATTCCTTCTGCACATACAGAAGCAGGAAAGCTGTCCTTACAGAGGCTGGCTGGTTTAATGACGGCCTTGCCGGTGCATCGTGGGCACCCCTGAACACGTTGAAGAGTTAGACTGAAACCCCTCGTGTGTGCAGCGATGTTTTTAGGTTATTTTTACAGGAGTGCTGCTGATTTTCCAGAGTTTCTGGGGGGAGCCGCCCAGCAGAAGCAGGAGCATCCCCCAGGGACTGGTGGGAAAGAGGAGGGACTGAAACCTAGGGACTGGGGAAAGTGGCAACTTGCCCTTAAAAAAAGAAAAAATATATCTATTTTCAAAGGTTTTGGGTTTTGTTTTTGTTTTTTAATATATAAAGGGCTGGAGGGGGGGAGAGGACCTCGCCTCCTGGCCTCGTCCTACAGCCCAGGGCAAGCCGGGGTCTGGGCTCCGCGGAGGGTTGCGCGGGCGGGCGGGCAGCCTGGCGCCGCGGGGGCGGAGGGGCGCGGGAGGGGCGGGAGCCGGGGCGAGAGGGAGGGAGGCAAGGAAGGAAGGAGGGAGACAGGCAGGCAGGGAAGGAAGGAGGGGGGGAAAGAGGGCGGTAGGGAGGAGGGCGGCCGCAGCCTCCGCGCCCGGGCGGAGCTGCCTTTCCCTTCCCCTCGCCAGCGAGCCCCCCTGCGCGTTATCCTGCGGGGCTCCGGGGACGGGAGATGGCCGCGCGGGGCAGCGCCGGCCGGCGCTGGACCGGCGATATGGGAAGCGTTTGAACTTCCTAGAAGTCGGGGAGCCGAGAAATTGTTGTTGGGGTGAAGGTGAGAGCGGGTTAGTTTCGTTCCCGAGGACCACGAGGAGCAGCGGAGCCGGTGAGGAGGAGAAGGAGGAGGAGGTGATGGTGGTGGTGATGATGGTGGTGGTGATGGTGAGGAGGTGGGTACGGGTCTGTGGTACCCGGGCCGAGGAACGGCCCGGGGCGGCCTCTACGCCGTCTCGTTCGTCCTTCCCCGAGTGGTTCGCAGCCAGGATATGCTGGTTTTTCGGGAGAGCAGCACTGAGGTCTGGTCCTGGGAAACTGAAGCTTTTTAGGCAGCGGCGTCTTGTCGGGATTCAGGTACCCTTGAGGAATTTAATTTTGTGGAGGTTAATTAAAAGGTAGTTGTAAAGTTTTATGGCTAAAGCTGTTTTGACAGCTTGTCCTTTTTTGTTTGTTTTTTTTTTCTTTTCCCCCCAGCCCTTCTGTGAGTTTTCCTCCTCTTGCGGCTCATAAAGGTGTAACTGTGCTGCTTCTGGACGCGCAGTAGTTTTGCAGGATGGAATGGTGCCTTTCTTACTCCCCTGTCAACTTAGGATACGTTGTCGTGCTGGTACTGCATTTCATCTCAACACAGCAGTGTCACCTGAGTGCCCTTAACGGTTCTTCCTTGTTATTTGGCACTGAAGATTTCTGTGAATATCCCTTGCTGCAGTATTCTTGTAGCTAAGTTTTTGGGGTTCTTTACAACTGCTTTCAGACATTTTAAGTGTTTTTGTAAACACGCAGAGAATGAATCTGTATTTTTAAAGGTTGCTGTTGCTCTATTTTGGAGTCTTTTAATATTAGTGTTGTTTCAGTCTCAGTGTCTAAGTATAGTTCTGTTGGGTTTTTTTTGTTTTGTTCTGGTCTTCACCTGCACATCAATCTCTTCAATGACTATAATAGGAGCTAATGGTAAAAACAGAAGCTGTACATGGAGGAGTGTTCTCCTGAAGGCTTTAAGATACTTTAGATTTCAGGAAAAATTGTTACTAGCTTTTGGAAAGCATTTTGGAAAGTTCACTGTTGTTAAGATAGTCTCCGTGCATGGTATTTCTAATAGCTTAAAGTTAGAAAACTGACCTGTTTCTTAAAAGATACTTTGAGATTGTCCTGGAGATCAGAAATGCAGCATGATTGACTTGCCCATGTCAGTGAAAAATACTGGTTGTTTTAACAACCTCGACAGTCTTAAACCTGAAGACACAGGCACCTAGTGGTTACATGATAATGTAACATAATAATAATAACAACATAATGTGTTTAAATTGCTTTCTAGCCTGAATTCCCACCTGTGATGTAAATTACAGCCTCACCACATCTGACATTGTTGCACCAGATTGTTATATGTGCATAAACAACTGATCGCTGAATCCTTGTGGAATTGAACCTTCTCATTCTCTGTGCAGCACAGAAATATGTGAGAAGTCAATGTATGTTCTTACCTGCAGGAATCTCTAAACTGTCCTTGAAGAATGGACATAAAATACGAGTAGTAATTCCACTGATGTAACATGATGAATCAACTGGTGGTGAACTGGACGTGCAGTTTGTATGTTGCTAAAGACTCTTTCTCTTAATTGCCTTTTATATTCCAATATTTAAGTTGTTGCCTTTTCATTCCAACAGCTTTATGGTTCTAGGCAGCCATGAATTCTGTAAAGCACAGACTTCAAAAGTGTATTTTCTAGATTACAAACTCTAGCTTGGATTTTCATATTTCATTATGTTATTATCCAGTATATTCTATTGTATGTATTTTATCCTTTTGCCAGGTATAGAACATAAAACCCAGTAACTCTCTGCATGTTCAGTGTGTTAGCAATAACGTCAGTCTTAAATAGATTGGAATTCTCCTGTGTTTATGTAGTGAAACAGGGAGAGCAGTTGGTGACTTTTGTTGAAGGTCATGTAAAAACGTGTCCAGTATACCTGGAATTGAAATGTGGTGTACTCTCATTTAATTTTCATCAAGAGGGGTAAAATGAGGCTGGGATTATTTGCTTTGTGTTTACTGAAGTCTGACTGCCCTCTTATGTAGAACTGACTGTGTTGCAGGGAGCTGCTGTCAGCTATCTGTAAGACCTCTTGAAAGTAGCTCAGAGTGCTGTTGCTACAACCTTTGAGCTGTGCTATCCTTAGGCATCTACATTTAAACTTTAATTGGACCTAGTGTGTAGGCAGGCTGAGGAAGCACGCCAAGAAATGTGCAGGTAGCAAGTGTAATGCAGACTGGATTTTTTTATGTGCCCTGTTGTTTAAGTCGTACTGTCAGAGGCACATGACAACCCTTCTGGATACTGTGGACACAGGCTGAAGTTGAAATTATTATGGACCTGTGTTCGGACAACTGCCTCTTATTGGCAGTGTTTGTTCTTAAGAGCCATTTTATTATTCAGGGTTTTCTTGCCACAGCAGAGAACCTGTGTTCTGTCATGTAATAAACATAAATGCAAATAGGTCTAGTCCAAGGCACAAATCTTGTTATGTGTCAGTTAATTTACTGGAGCTTCTTTTGGGAGGTGGGGCAGAAGGGATTTTCTTGTGTGCAGTAGAATTGTGGGAAGGTAATGCCTGCTGGACTTCTCCAAAGTAAATTTGAAAGAGACAAAAAGAGAGTAGCTACTTATTTCTTTCCCTTGATTGAGTTTTCACTTTACCTGCTGTCTTTTTCTGTAAGTAGAAAGATTCAGTTGAATTGGACTTTGCCCGTGTTGCTGCAGAGTAGTGGTTTGCTTTCCCCAGTGGTGCTACTAGAAATTTTTAAAGCTGCTAGGTAGTGGGTGGATGTGTAAACAGGGAGCAGGCTTTTTTTTTTTATATCAATGGCTGAATTCTCAATTCTCCTCTGAAATGGTAGTTAGAAGAGACTGTGGAGATAAGCCAAGGATTGATTAGAGTATTTTGGTTAGTGGTCTCTTTTTTTCTTCGGGTGGAGTATTTCCAGAGGTGTTTAGTGTCCCTGTATTAAAAATCAAATGTATGTAATATTTAAAAAGATGGCCTTTTTGAATGAAACCTGTTTTATCTAGAACCCAGTTATTCAACTGCTTCTGACCATCCCTCTCTCTTTACAGATTAGCAACCTGTATTTTACTGTTGGCTTTTTCTAAAGTGTCTGATCCAGTCCCTGGATCTCCTCATCCTGTATTTCTGTTGCATTGGATTCTAAATACGTTGTCTCCTGTTTCCTTTGTGTCAGCTGCCTGTCTGGTAACGAGAGTGGGACACTATTTCTTCATACACAGGTTGAGAAAAAAGTTGACTTTCTGGGTTTTCTCCAAGATTGTGTAAGGTCCAGTGATATGTTGAGCTATTTATTACGAGGATATTTGTGGAGAAGACTGAGGAAGTGATGAAAAGTGTGCCAAAGTTGATACTTTCTCTAAAGTTAGAGGAAATAGGGTGGTGTTTATAGTGAATAATAGGACTGTCTCCTGTATCTTGATTTCTGTTTCTTTATATGCAGGTTCCTTCTGTAACTGGAATCAGGTGGGGTTTTCAGCACTTGGTTTTACTGGTGACTCAGTCCCAGAGTAAGTCTTTCTAGGCAAATAATTAGTGTATAGGGAAATGCCTGTTCTGATCCAATGGGTGATTATGGATCCCGGTAATTCCTCCAAGTGTGCTTGTAGGGAGACAGTCTTTTGGGTATTTTTACTGTTCTTGTCTCTGCTTCCCTTGTGTTACTCACAGAGTATGGTAGCTGATTTGCACTGGCCTTAGAGGCATTTAAGGCATTTTGTCTGCAACCAGAGAGGCAGCAGGTGAGTACACAGCTTCCTAATCTAATTTTGTAAATTCTGGGCAGAGTTTGAAGCATAAGCACCTGTAACAGGGGTCTTTGGTTATGCAATGGTATCATCTTTAGGCCATTACCACTGAAAAAAAAAAAAGAAAAGGTTTCAGTGCAGAATAAAATACTCTGATTAAACTTCAAAAACCTTTTTAAATACAGTTTGAGCCAAAATTATTTAGAAAGGAGTAAAAAGAGGTTGCCACATATCACTAAAGTACATAATATTTTCTTGTTGCATGCAGTTATTATGAGGCTATCAGAAAAAGTTTTATTGTAAGGCATTCATTTTTGGGGGTAGTAGGTTTGTATATGTTCTTTTGGTGTCAGGGTTCTGTTACTGCCATGCTCTTGCTTCACCAGAGGCAAGGGTCAGCCTGAAATTTAATGTTGTTGTGGCTTCCTGCTGGAAACAGTGAAAATACTGCTTGCATTTTGACAGCCTCCATTGGGAGAGTGGACAGAGTAGATGTTGATAAGCTTGAAACTGTGCCAAGAGGACCAGCAGCTTCTGTTCTCCTCTAACTTTGCCCTTCCCCTGTTCCAGGCCTAGATACTGTAGCAGCTCAAAAGTTTTAGCTGTCTCTAGACAACAGCGGTCTCAGCATTAACCTGTCTTGCATAATCTGCATGCTCTTTCACTAGTGCCCAAGTATGATTTGAGGGGATTTATTTTGCTACATGGTTTTCTAAAGTTCCTTTTCCTTTCTGCCTGTTGTCAAAGATGAGGGCAGGAGCTCCTTGTTCTTAGTTACAGGAAAAGCAATAACCAGAGGTAGAGACTTCTCAACTGTGTCTGTTAAATTCACTGGTATCTGGCATCCTCCAGGACACCGCAGTTTCCACTTTTGAAGCTGTGGATAAAAATATATTTCTACTGTTTTCTCTCTGTTATTACTTGATGTAGTTACCACAGCATTTGTGGTTTTACCTGCTACTAAAACTGCAGCTGTGTTCCTAACTACAGTGTGGTAAAGATTAAGCCAAGTCTATCCCTATTTCTGTAGCCAGACTTACAGTTCACGTATAAGTAGCTCTCAAGAGCTGATAATGCTCAAGGCAAATAGAAATTGAAAGCAAGCTCTGATCCACTGGAGCTTAGTGACAATCTGAAAATGCATTTCTTCCAAGTTTGTCAATTCAGCTTAGTGTTGGTGACCCAGGCACATATCAGAGGAGACGCCTCAGGGAAAAAATAATCACAGCCAGTGATCTTCCAGGCAGCTTAAAGAAAGAAATACGAACATTACATTTTCAGCTCCTTGGATGATTTATTCTTCTTCTCCACAGTAAGATGAATAAACCCTTCCTTGAATTAATCTGTTTGACGCTTCCTCCTTTTGTTTTTCAGAGATATTTCAACTGTAGATCTGAAATAGAGCTCAGTCTTCCAAGACTACAACTTTTAATCCATACTTCTCCTGTACTGTCATTTAAAACTCTGACACTAAGAGTGAAAAATGGAAGGGATAAGAGGAATACAGCCTGTATTGTGAGAATGAGTGCAGGCATGCCAGGAACCTTTGTAACAAATGTCCGTTTACAAGAGGAGAAAGACAGTGAATGATGTTAATCAGGGAACACCTAATCCATTTTAAAGCTTTACTTGTTTTTCTGTGATGAGCAGGAAGACAGATAAACACAGCGACTTGTGCTCACTTCCTGACCCTGGACCTGAAGTGGCTACAGATTGACACAAGTGCTTCGTAAAGTATAAGCTGAGTGAAATACTTACTGGAAGTGGTGCCTATTGACAGTTTTAGTGGATGGAGAAGAGCTCAGTTAACCTTCATATCTCAATTTTAGTGTGTGGCAATGGGTGAAGAACGCTCTTAATGTCATGCCAGTATAAAATTATGGAAAATGGGAACTGTGCCTTGTTGTAATAAAGCTTTTAACAGTGGCTTGCCAAAGGAAAAGAGAAATCAATTTGAAACTCCACATCTGTGTAACTGGCTTGGATGAGCTGTTTTGTAGTCAAATAAAGGTAGGGGAGAAGCTTAACCCTCCTTAACCCTATAATCAGCTACTTGGTGAAATAGAGAACAATTGAATTAAGGTAAATGCACATGTAACTAAAAATAATTTCCTGAATGTGTTGCAGTATGGATGATCTATCACTTATTTGTGATTACAGTGGGTTTAAACATTCCTTTTTTGTTTAGAGTCACCAGATCAATCTTTGAAAATTACTCAATTTTATATGGCTACAGGAGGAATAACAACATGAAGTTTGGTGACCTGGCTTTTGAGAGCAAGAAAAATAGTCATTTGACTGACTGAGAGTGGTTGGGTATCAGGAACAAATCTTTTTACTGGATTCCAGGGGCTTTGGCCTTTGTGCCAACATAAATATGGGTGTCTCTCTAATGGCAGAATTGCAGTGGATTAGTTTGTGCTTTTTGGAAATTTATGGTATAAAATATAGAGTTCACTTTTATACTTCCCTGTTTTAAGAAAATAGGGAGTTAATGTTGATTTGGGCGCTCCTTTTTCCTCTGGCTATTTTGAAGAGAACTGACATCCTCTCTTTCTAAAACAATTTTCTCATGTTTGTAAGTTATCAGACACATATTGTTCTGCATTCAGTAAAGCACTTCAGGTGGCTGTGCTATGCAAGCCTGGACAGAGGGTTGTAACTATGTAGCATTAATTTCAGCTGCTCTTGGGCACTGCTGAAGTTCCTGTTGTTTGCACTGGGGTCCAGTGAACAATTTTTGTGTGCTCAAGGCAGGTGTGGAAAGTACTGTCCCTCAGTGAGTGAAGAGGCATCTAGTTAATACAAGCTCTCTGCCTTTTTGATGGCTTTATTCTCAGCCTCTTGTATTGTCCCCTTCTCACATTCTGCAAGGAAACTTAAGTGTTCCAGTGAAGGGGATGGATGACCTTACACCCTGTGTTCTGCTAAACACAAAGTATGTCAACTATGGGGAAAGAAGGGCAGAGAAGGTAAATATTAAGACAGGCACATGATGCTCCCTGTGTTCCTCTCTAAAATTCACATGAAAAATTAGTTTTTCTCATGTTGTCTTTAATCTCTGATGTGATATTTAAGTTCCCTCAGCATGTTCTGACAAATCCGAAGTGCCCTCTGGTACACACTCATGCAGTTGAAAACCTTTTGGTTTTGAAGTAAACTGTTCTGAATATACAAGTTGGTGGCATTTGTCAGATGTCTGATAGCAGGTTGTCATCTTCAATTATTTCTCCATGCCCTATCTTTGTTCCTTTGAAGTATTGTCTGTAGTGGGTCCAAATCTGTTTCCAGTATGTCTACACAACTCAGTGATTTTTTGGATGCACGTGTGTTGTTGAAGAATGTGATTTCAGTGAAACAACAAAGGACTACAAGCATGAAAGTTTACAAAATAGTAATGATTGTGGTTTTATATGTGCATATTAAAGTGCATTTCCTGCCAGGGAAAGTTCTTGTCACACAGGTTTTTAGCAGTGCGAGTTAAGTGTTCCTGCACTTAATTTTCCTTTTATGTTCACTTTAAGATTGCACGATGGAAGTCACGTTTTCTCAAGAAAAGCTGCGTATCTTGGATCAGTACCGTTGAAGATACCTTCTGATTGCAACACCCAGAACAGGGTCCTGCAACGAATTTGTCAAAAGAAACATACCATGGATCTCAAGGAAAGCTGCCCAAGTGTTAGCATTCCCAGCTCTGACGAGCACAGGGAGAAGAAGAAAAGATTTACTGTAAGTATGTAAGAGCATAAGCACTGTGGGCAAATCCATAGGCTGTTGGTGCCTAGAAGTGCTACTTTCTTTTTTTCCCCAGTACTGAGCTTGGTATTATTTTCAATAGGTTTATGGAAATGTTTCCTTGCTCTTGTGAGTACTGGCCATAGTCCAGAGCGAGAATTTGTGAATATTTTACAGTGTTTACCTGTGTTGCTTTCTGCAAAACAACTTTGCTTTACAAGTTTCTGGTATTTTTACCCCTAAATAGCAGCATTTCTCATATAAAATACCTAAGTGTCCAAATGCAGGGAAAATGTTGTGGTACCACTTTTGGCATTTTACATGATTTTTTAATGACAATGTGTATTTTGTAAAGGAGTAAAGTATGGATTTGGGGTTTTTTCAGAAACATATAATTTTTCATAAATATCCTATTATACTATTGTAATTTTTTGTGTAAAATAAAAAAAATATAAACCGTCAAATTTTTTCAAAACCTTTTTTTCTGTCTTCCTTCCTGTTTTCTGATTCTAATGCCTGTGAGTTTTTTCCTATCCTGTTTCCATTTCCACTCCTTGTCATTCCATTCCCTCTTCCTTTCTTTGCCTCCAAGTTTGACTTTCTGGTTGTGAAGTCTTTCCGTTGTGTGTGAAATTCTTTGCATTGCACACTGAAAAATAAAGTAGTGTGGTATGGATTTTTGTTTTGCTTACGTATAGCCCTAAATGACAACATCATCATATTTTCTTTAAAAAGTTCAACTATTTCATTCTTCTTGTGCAACTTCCTCTAAGCTTTTTTTTTTTTTTTGCCGAGTGAATTAGTCACTCTTCAGATGTGGAATGCAAACACCCTTAGACTGAGTTGCTGTCTGAAGAATACAACAAAAGAGAGGTTTACTATGAATTATGCATCTACCTTTCCTCTTCACCTCCCTTCCTCAGAGAAGAATAATGACATTTGATTCTTCAAGTGTATCAAGATGTAATTTTGGGAAGGATTGTGCTGGAAAAGGGAGCAAACAAAAGAGAACTTTACTAATACTTTAAACTACTGCATGCATGTGAAACTCAAGTGAGCAGGGAAACCTTCATGGAAGTCTAAATTTGAGCAAAACAAGTTTGTTTCATTGCCTTAGTGCTGGCAGTTATGCTGTTAGTAAAGGCCAGTGTGGTATATTGTGATACGTAACTAGTGTTGTGATTGCCAGGTCAGTTTACCCAAAGATCTGTGAGAACCTGAGCAATGTAAAGGCACTTTGTTTGGCTGCACGAGCAAGAGTAGGAAACTTCAGAAACTGGGGGGTGAGGGAGGAGGGGAGCAGAAATCCAACCCAGTTTACACTGTGCAGAGCTACACTTCATCTTGCTGGCTTCTGCTTTCTGCATCAGGGAGCAATTAGCAGCTTGACAAGAGCTGCTTTTCACAACCAAGCTTTTGAGTACTATCACATGTATTTTAAGATTTGATAACAGAAGTGAGGGTCATACTAAACTTTGTGGTAGGAACTGTGAATTCCAGCATGTGTCAGTGCTTTTACTGTGTCTGCTCTTTTGTAGCTGTGTTGTAATGCCTGGATCCCGTCAGTACTTTGTCAGGGAGAGAGAGAGAGAGGTGTGGGGAGAAAGAGTTCTTAATAAATTTGTGGCTCTTTGATGGCCATACCAGTGCCATTTCCACAAAGAGCTGTAAGAACCTTAGGGTGAAAGGAAAGGTTAAAGTAAAAAAGGCTAGGAAAGACTTCAGGTGACTGTATAATCTTCACCTTACTGTTGCATACAGTGTGTATCACTACTGCTTCTGAGACTGTTCTAGAATAATATTACTGTTCTGAATAGAAATTGTGAATTCCAGCTCAAACCTTTCAGTGTCTCACTCAATGCTGGCATGGAAACAAGACAAGTATGTGCAACTTAGTTTTTGCTAGCTCTTCTTTTTCTTGTCACACTTGCTCCGATAAAGCATTTTTTAAAAAAAATCTCGTCTCTGCGCAGTCCTCATTCTGATGATTAAATCAAGCTTTTTAGTTTTGTCTTTGGAAGTGAAGTCTTCATTTCTCCTGAGTGTTTTCATGACCTTTTATTGAATGTTTGATTTGATTTTGTTAAATACTGCATACTTTTGATATATATACCACCAATTTTTTTTTTCTTGACAAAGGTTTGAATTTTTCAGGTGTTCTGGCAGGGGAACTTTTTTGCTTCCACTTAATTCATGGTAACCAGCCTCTATGCATATCCACACTAGTTCACTGTCCTGCATTTTTCTGAAGATTCAGCATTCACTTTCTTCATAAGAAGAGCAAAATCTTTGCTTGTTTTAGACCATATCTAGGCTATATTAATTGTTGTTCTGTCCTTGCTGCATAGTGGGTCATTCTTTTACCTGTTTTGACAAATAGCTTTGTTTTGGATTTCTCACTTTTATCCCTGTGCTATTTGATGTCTGAGGTCTAATGAAGACATCAAATTTTCTCTGTTCTTGTCTCCCTTCACTCCCCCATCATATACAGGCTTATTAAAAAATCTCTTTCAAGGTTGCTGTTTGTCTAATTAAATCTGGAAACTTCATCTCAGACCCGTAATGTATATGATTAATCCCCAGCCCTGTGGAAATTGTGGTGGTTTTTTTTTTTTTTTTACTTGTTGACACATAATAAATAGCTTCCTTACTTTCTTGATAGTTGTTCTCTTGAAATGGGAAAACAGCCTACTTTTTTCATATCTTTGTTTAGTTAAAATTTAATCTTTAATCCAGGAGCATGAGCTACCACAACAGAGTTGAAGCCTTGTAATTTCAGTGACTTTTTTTGTGAAGAAATCTGTCACATCCAGAAATATCTAGACTCTGTCCTATCTGTATCTGGAAGATAATTTATGGTGATGTTTTCAGGAATTCTGTTTCTTCCTTTTTCCTTTCTTAAAGCCTTGTGTTATTTACCCACATATTACAAGTTTTGAATGCATCTTATCTTTGTTTTAGGAGTTTTCTAAGACCAAATTTAGATTAGGAATAATTAGATTTGAAAAGGTTATTATCTAAGTAAGGCTAGATTCTTCCCTCCACCTTTCTAGAAGCAGACATTGCACATCACTTTAATCCTTACATAGGTGTAGCTGAGAGTAGTAATATAGCCCAAAGACATGCTGTGTTTTTAGGTTTTACCAGTTCTTTGTGGATATTGTATGTGCTCTTATCACTCAGTGCTTCAATAACTGTTGAACTCGCAGCTTTCCCTTTGTTGGGTGTGCAAGATCTTTGCTGGTGGTGTGAATCGAATGACCTCCTATGGAGTTTTTTTATTCTCTCTTGTGTGAAAAATGTTGATGGTGGTGTTGTTCTACAGCTACTCTGAGAACAAAACTGTTTTAATGTTGCGGTTGCCATGGAGGTGCTATCATCTCGTATCCTAAGTTGTGCTTGCCCGTGCGCTTTGCAGTCTGTGCGTTCTGCCTGGCTAATTTAAGAAATCCATGGCCCGCTGCTTAAGCGTGTTGGCATTGATCTGCTGTGCAGTCCTGGGGAGTGAAGATGTGTGCTTGAACATCAGTTGCAGGGCTTGACTGCTGTATAAGGTACCCAGGTCAAGAGGACAGTGCTTAAGTCTTCACAGCTGAAGCTTTCAGGGTTTACCATGTAGGGAGGCTCTAGAAGTGTGTAGGTAGGTTTTACACTAACGCTTGTTTAGCAGTGTAAAGGAAGGCTAGTTTTCTTAGAAGGGTCTCATCAGCATTCTGCTGGGTGCTTCCGTCCAGCTTCCCAGGGACTCAAACTGAGAACAGCTTCTTTGAGCAGTTAACATTGCATGAATGCAGATCTCAGCCTGAGGAGCTGATGGTGGTGGCTGCCACTTCCACTGTGAGAGTTAAATGAGAGAAGTAAGAAGCTGTTGCAGGGCAAATAGAGACTGAGGCATTGGTCCAGTTTTCTACGCTGGGAATTAGCAGCCTTCTGCACTCATTTCCTTTCTGTGCCCATCCCTTCCACTGAAGGAATAGCTGGGCTCTTTCTGGAAGTACAAGAAGGTAGAAAAGCAAGGACAACTAATTGCCTAAGAGATGGGAGAAGCCTGCTGGACACCCAGCAGTCAACCAGATTTATGAATCCGGGCATTGACAATCTGTCTAGTTACTGAAGTCTTCTGCTGACATGGGATTTGAATGGCCAGAACTGTGCAGCAGGCTTCAACTATACCTCCCTTCATCGCGGTGCTGTATATTGAGTTATCTGTGCTATATTTCAGCCACAGCACCATTTTTTTCTTCCCTGAACAATTGTCATCTTGCCAGGATCCTTCTGTATTCAAGGTGTTGGAAAGGACAGTTATCTTTGTAATTGCCTTCTATACGTACTTTCTCCTTAGGTTTTGATGAAGGCAATCTTCAGTATTTAAATGTTTTACTTCTTTAATATTAGTCTTGTTATGGATTATCAAGTTGCTAACAAATTTCATAGTAAATTTTAATAGACTACTATCTGATGGCCAGATGTTCTTGTTGGATATGGACTAATTTACAAAACTCCATTAAATCAACTTTGATGTTAGTTTTTGCTTACCCGATGTTTAAAAAATTTTCTGTAAAGTACCAATTGTTCTTTTAATCATTTCTGTTGATGTCTGTGTGGCTTAGCTGTAAGAAATACATAGCTCAATGAGTGCATTTACACAATACTTTTAACAACCTGCCCTTATTTCCAGCACAGGATTAAACCTTGGATGTTTTACTAAATTTTGTGGGCATTGTTGTTTCCTACTACAGGTTTACAAAGTGCTGGTCTCTGTTGGCAGAAATGAGTGGTTTGTCTTAAGACGGTATGCGGAGTTTGATAAACTCTACAATACGGTAAGCAAAAGGCAAGCTATGAAATCCTGCCAGAATAGCAGAGTAGCACTTGTTTGCAGTGTTATGGTTTGAGTTAATCCCCTCTTGAGCAGTTTGGCTCAATAACCATAGGACCCCTGATTAAAAATAATGATGGAGTGGGTTTTTTAAGCTTTGGTTTGTTTGAATTTCAAACTCAAAATCCTCTTATTTGTTACTTTTTTCCTTGTTGCTTGGGATCATAACATAATGAGAAACTTCCAATTTAGTGGTTGTCAAAACATCTGAAATGTGCATTTGTTCATGATAAAAACCCCACAAAACATCTAGATAGGTATGTTTCTCCTAAAATAAGCATTTTACTTTGAAGTACTGAAAGCCATGAACAAGTCCTTGTTTCTTAATATAAATTTTCTATTAAGTCAATTATGGCAATTCTTACCTGCTGTTTAATATCAGGTATGATTTTTTTTCACAGAAAAATGTGGTCAGTGCTCCACATAAAATAATCCTCTTCAGCAACCAAGTATGGATTTCTTGGGTTCATTGCTAGAAGAGGATTTTGCTCCTTTTAGGTAGCGGGCAAGAAGGGCAAATACTTGCTCAGATATGCAGTCTGTGTCCTGTGTCATAGAATCAGCCGGGTTGAAAAAGACCTCTGAGATCATCAAGTCCAACCCTTGATCTACTACCACTGCAGTTACTAGACCATGGCACTAAGTGCCACATCCAGTCTCATCTTAAAAGCCTCCAGGGACAGAGAATCCACCACTTCCCTGAGCAGCCCATTCCAATGCCTGATTAACCTCTCTGTAAAGAATTTCTTCCTAATATCTAACCTAAACCTCCCCTGGCAGAGGTTAATACCATGCCTTCTTGTCTTACTGATAGCTGCCTGGGAGAAGAGACCAACCCCCACCTGGCCACAACCTCCTTTCAGGTAGTTGTAGAGAGTGACGAGGTCTCCCCTGAGCCTCCTCTTTTCCAGGCTAAACAACCCCAGCTCCCTCAGCCTCTCCTCATAGGACTTATCTTCAATCCCTTCACCAGCCTTGTTGCCCTTCTCTGGACCTGCTCCAGCACCTCAACATCCTCCCAGAACTGAGGGGCACAGAACTGGACACAGTGTCCATACTTTCCTCCAGTTCTTCATCCCACAATTTTTGCTTCAACAGAAGAGGAAGTAATTCTCCTGTGATCCCCATAAGAAAAAATTACCAGCTGCTTATCTGTGCCTCCATTTCCTTTCCATTGTCTCTATGAGAAGGAGTCAGGCTTTTCTCCCTTCTGCTTCACTGTATGTGGATTTGCATGTGGCAGTGGTCTCCAAATGTAGGCTGTGACCTTGGAGCTGAGCTTGGAGGTCTGAGCTTAAGTGGCCCTGGATAGGCCATCCTTTGTTTTGCCTGTGTCTTTCAGGGATGTAGGCTTGGAAGGAAACAAAGTATCCCCTTTTCAGTACCTGCAGAGGGGGTGTTGGTGATCCATTCCTTTGCCACATTCCCTGGCCATTCGGATTAGCATTGCTCTGCTGAAGTTTGTTCAGCACTGGTCTCTCAACTTGGGCAGAGAATGAGGTCCTGGGGAAGCATAACCAGGAGGGCATTTAGATCAGTTTCTATTCAGTGTAATTCATATAATATAGCACACCAAAAAACTTGTGCTGCTAACTGGAAGAGATACTGTTGTTGCTAAGGAGAGAAGAATTGCCAGCTGCTCTATTAGAAAATTACTCTCTTAAAGAGGATGAGAGTAAGATTGCTCTTCTGAAGCATTTGAAGTACATGTAATCAAGGCTTAACTTATGTCAGGTTTGAGGTTTTTTTTAATATATAATTCAGTGTTGTTTTATGCTATCTTCTGGTCAGTTTATCAAGCGTAGAATATAATCAAATTATCAAACGCAGGATTGCAAAACAGGCTGTTCATCTGCTTGCAGTTTTGACTTAAGGGCAGACCACATGGTTTCTAAAGTTAAGAATGCCACTTGGACAAAAGCCAGAGGCCTGTATCCCCAGCCTGTCCTAAACCTCATGCATACAGCCCTATGCAAGCAAGCAAGAAAAAAACAAACCCAAAAGAGATAGAGAATTGATGGAGGAAGGGAGAAGAGAGGAAAATAAAAACAACACTGAAATTCCAGTCTATGTTTTAACCTGGGGCAAGTGGAAAATTGTTTTAGCACTGTTACTGGAGTAGTCCATAAGATGAAGATGAGATTGCCTTTGAATTTGAAAGGGTATGTCTGGTGCAAACAAGCTGAGTACAGATTGTTCTGGGTTTGTTTTTCTTCCCCCAAGTATGTGAGTAGAGGAGTTGACATAGCGGAGCAGAATTACTGATAATCAGGTGTTCAAACTGTTCATCAGAAAACAAAGTGCAATTATTTCTAGGTGCTTTGATGTCTAAGCGTAAACCACTTGTATGTATTTTGTTTTCAGCTAAAGAAGCAATTTCCCACAATGAACTTGAAGATTCCAGCTAAAAGAATATTCGGAGATAATTTTGATCCTGGTAAGTTATCATCCTGTTATTCATTTTGTCAGTTTCTTTATATGAAAATTGATCCATTCCAGCCTACAAGCAGCTATATTAGATGAGTTTTACACCAGTCCTCAAAACAGTGACTAAACCAAAGTTTAGTCATGCTTCAGTCGAGCAGGAACTCGCGTAGGTAGGTATTCTGCCATGTGATAGTTAACAAAGTATTGCTTAGTGGCCCATTGCCTCTCTTGCACTGAAGGCTACAGCTCCTCCCAACCCTCCGCTATTCAGGATTGTGACAGATTATGAACTGTCAGGTATAATCTCTCTCCTGTAAATGCTAAAGCCAAACCTCTGACTCTCCTAAGCATGTGCCTAGTTAGTTTTAAATTTCCTTCATATGACTTCCCTCACGACCAGCTCTGAAAAATGAAATAATTAAAGGATTTATCTTTGAGGACTTTGAAACTCTCTGTATCTAAATGTGCTTCTTTGTATGCTTTAGATTAAAACGAATCTCTTCTGTAAAAGGAACAACAACAGGAAGTCTGTCTGATGTGAACATATTGTGATCCAATTACCAATGATAAGTCCCAATTTAGTTTGCTCTGTACACAGCAAAATACTAATGAAAAAGTCACTTGTAAAGTGCATTGAATTAGTCTAGGTGGCATCACGGATGAATAAGCAAAAAGGCAAATGGGAAGGCCAGGCCATTGCTCTGTATTTATATCCTTCATTCAGGCTGTTTTTACTTAAGGATTTTCCTGAAGGTCATTGGAACCCTTCAACCCTCCCCTGGCTTGCTGATGTTGATCAGACTGTGTTTGTGGTTTCACCTTCTCCTGCACCTCTTTCAATCATTTAATTTTCTCCTTTGCTGAGGAACAAATGGGTCCAAAGCTGTTGAACTCTTAGGATGTATAGTTTTGGGTGTTTTAAAGTTCTTACAAACAAATCTAATTTTTGGCAGTTACAGTTAATCATCTGGATCCCGATGTCAAATTCCTTTTTAATTTTTATTAAAATAATCAAATACAAGTATCCAAGCTCTGCTGTTCTCTTCTGATTAAGATGTAAATGATTGCTAAAAGTTCTAAGTGTATCATGTCTACATATCTGCTGAAGACCAGATAATGTCATGGAGTCTGGTTTGCTGTACAGCCAAATGTGCAGGTGGATTTTGAGTCAAATTTAGTAAACTGGAGTTTTAATGAGGAAAAAAACCCTAAACTAAAACTTTATTAAAATGATATATGTAAAACAAAGTCCTCAGGCTTGTTTTAAATTTCTGTGAGCTATGCTGAAATCCTTGAAGCATGAGAGACGAAATAGTTCTCAAGATGTGTCTTGCTGGGAGGCAGGGTGGAGCTGGAGCCATGATGTTCATGTAAATTATTCTTTATCTTAACAGTGATTTATTGAAGCTTTGATGTAATGTTTCTGCTGACTTCTGAAACAAGTCACATATTTTACAAATACTGAAAAGGTATTTTACTTCTGTAATGCATTCATGGGTATGCAGCACTGTGCTGTTTGACTGGAACGCAGCAGAGTGAAACCTTTATATCCCTTTTCTCAAAATCTACCAAAAATAGTCATAGCATACATTGTTGTTTAAGGGCTCAATTTTTATTGACACTTAGGTTATTTCAAAATTAATCTTGTTTTAACTTGAAAAAATGGGACAGAGGAGAATCACTGAAACCCTCCAGAATACAGAAATTGAAAATTTAGGGGTGTTTTATCTTCACCAGCATGGATGGCTCTGTAGGCTTAGAGTGACTGATGACACAGTGCACCTGCCACACTGAAACTGCTGATGTTGGTGACTCACATAGCATCTGTATGAAAATTTACCTTCCTGTTTGTTGTCAGTAATTTGGGATTATTAAATACCCTAGCAAGGGTTTAGGATTATATCCCTGAAACACTATGAACGTTTTTAATTAATATTTGAAATACATCTTTTAATCAAAACTTAAAATTAAGTTATAATAACTGGCAGTAATCTGTATGTGGCAGTCATTTGAATGCTTTAAAAGTTAATACACAAGTTAAATATTCTTTTTCCCTACAAATTATTGTTGATATGAGTAATGAAAGACAAGATTATTCTGTTTTACGTTTTATTTCATGTTAGAGCTCTCTTTCTATTCCAAATCCTTTGTGTATTTTTCCATATTGCTACAGAACAGTTATGTGTCTTAAGCTTTAGATGAAGGTGGGGATTCTGAGGATTATTTTTTTTAACATTAGAGATTATGTCCAAAACTTAACTAAATAAAATACTTTCCTTTATCTTTGATGCCTGTATCTGAGTGCCTGCTGGCAGGATGAATCGTGCAACTTTTCCACTGCCACACATATATTATGGAAATATGCTGCTTGGTGGGACTGTTCATGTAAAAACTTGACTTGTGTAACTGATGTCAGGTGTTGCCTGTGGGTCGTTGGTTTTTTTGGTTTTGTGGAATCAGGTCTGGAAGGGCTCACCTGTGCAAGGAAGGCTGCACAGGTGAGCCCACTGCGGTTACACACTGTTCTCGAAGCACTTTACTGCACTTTTAATCCACCTGGCTTTCTACATTTTCAAGAAGTGTTACAGAGAAACTGAAAACTGTTCTCTCACCTCAGTTGAATGTTTTAAGCTTGCAATTTTAATATGTAGAACCAAACCTGTTTTGAACCAGTCATGGACCACTTTCTTTTTTAACTGCTGTTTAAGTCCTAAAAAAATCTAAGTAAGAAAATAAGTCTTTTTCACAAGCTGACTGATGATTCTAATAAATCTGTTTTTTTCAGATTTTATTAAACAGAGAAGAGCAGGACTGAATGAATTCATTCAAAATTTAGTTAGACAGCCAGAGCTATGCAACCAGTAAGTAGTTTCCTTTCTGTTTTTTAAGGGCTGTTGAAAAGACATGTTAAATACAAAATTGCAAATTAAGTATTTAACCGGAAAACTTATTTTACCTGTTCAGAGCTCTTCAGTATAAAAAATAAACTTTAATATGGCTATTTGTTCAGGAAAAATCTACTGACCGAACAGTGTAAAAATGTTTTGTTTTTTTTCTGAAAACCGATCTACAAATCAATTCGCAGGCAATTAACTAATCTTAATTCAAGGGGTGCAGATTCCACTCTAAACTCTGTTGCTGTAGGGTAGTGTTTGTTTTGCTGATGGCTGTACTGCTTGAGAACTCTGCTGTCACTTGGTACTGCCTTGCTGGCAGTAAGTCACTGCCTGTATCCTTTTTGTTAGAGCAGTTCACGTGTGCACTCTGGCACTCGTGTTAAGCACGTTAACCAAGTAGCTTAATTAGCTTGCTGAGATGGATAACCAAGATGACCTGCCAAAAGCAAATGAATAAGCTTTGCACCTGAACTGTTCTGGCAGAAGAACCGCAGGTGTGTTCACCACCATCGGTGGGACAGTGGTGAATGTGGGATAATGGCAGTAGAGAGTTGGCTCGAGTTAAATCTGGAGGACAGCGCTTGGTGTGTGAACTGACTGGGGACAAAATCCCTTCTTTCAGTTGAAATATGTAATCAGTTTAAGCTAAATCCATGCAGTTTTCCATGTTGCTTGAAAAAGTAAAATGGTAAATCTCTATGCTTGGCTTTAGTGTTAATTAAATGCTTTTTATGCATATACTTTGTTTAATTAGCCAAACTGTACAGCCTGTGAAATTGCCCATTTCCCACAGGAAGAAAATAACTTACAGAATATTGCTGCAGTTTGCAGTGTGCAGTCAGATTTTCTTTCTTCACAACAAATGAACTATTTAATATCCTGTTAACCTGAAATATGTACTTCCTTTCCTTTTTTTTCTTTTCTTTTTTTTTTTAAAAAAGACCGTTTTATGTATACTTCCGTATGATAAGTGGAAAAAAATTAGTGGCAAATTCTTTATGGTAGGATACTTTTCCACCAGAACAAATACTATGAGGTTTATGTCCATAGTACTGTTCTTTGGGAAGTAATAGAAAGCACTCTAATACAACAAATTATTGAAAGCTAATGTGATTTGTTACATCAGGAAGGGATACTGATGGTTTACTTAGCATATTCTCCTCCCCATTTGCTTGCCAGTATGTCCAAGTATCAAGTATTTTTGTCTCAAACCAATACTATATTTGTTCTCCAGAGGTAAAATGGTACCTTTTTCTATGCACAGCACAAAATGGTGTGCTTAAAAAAAAAGGCATCAAACCTCAAATGCACCTGCCTTCTTAAATTTTTGTGAAGGTTTTGAAATTGTTTTATGCTCAAATACATCTGTATCCGAATCTGTGTTCTTTAACGTGGCATTTAGCTTGTCTGCTCCATCAAAACTGACTTAAACCAGTATTAAGAAATAGGTCCAGTTGTGTGGTACTGTTGAAAGTGTGTTCAATAATAAGCTTATTAAGCATAGTTCCACAATAAAAACAAAATAGATACCTCAATTTGTCTTGTGCTATTTTCCCAACCCTTAAAGAAACAGTAATGTGGGAGAAAAAGCAAGCCTCTAATTGACAATTCAGTGCAAAAGCATTTAATTTTATAGTTATTTCTATGTTGTTTCTCTCTTACTAAATGTAAGGTAGTTTGTTTTTCTGAAGTTAGCTTTTGTTTTATTTTATGCAGTGCTCCGTTGCAACAAATCATATAACTATGTAATCTGTCACCTTTTTGGTGCACTAATGAGTGTTGTTAGTGAAGAAATACCAAATCTTTGATCTTAGTGGTTTGTGGATTCTTTTGTAAAATTTGCTAGAAACTATTCAAGGAATATGTAGTGACTGTCTTCACAGATAGTCCACATCCTTGTTTTCTTAAGCGGTTTTACTTTAATGTGCTAATTGAATTTGATATTGGGTAAAATAATTTAAAATAACTTAAAGTTAGTGATCTACAAGGAATACTTAACGGGTTATGCATTCTCACAGAACTATTAGGAAGTCCACCTTCCACTGCATCTTTTAAGCATTAAAACCAGTATCAGGATGTCATATATTTTAAGTCCCGTATAGAAAAACTGTTTCACTGAAAGCTTAAGGATGGTTCAAGATGATGTCCTTATTTCTGGATGGGAAGGCACTTGTACATCTGAATTGAAAAGCACAAATGTCAGATTCAGTATGTCCAAGATGGCAGTATTTACATTAATAATACAAAGATACAGCACTGTGTTCTCATTTATCTTGAGTGAACTTTGTTCTTGGATCAGCCATGTTTCTTGAATATTGTATCGAAGCCAAACCTTTTTGATAAATAAAAAACCCAAGAAAAACCTAAAGTGTGTTAGAGTGATTAGAGACCCTGTGTATGTTAGAGGTATAGACCCTGTGACTGTTGACAAGGATTTTCCTACAGTCACTGTCAGGTGGAATACAGGGTGAGGTTATTGGCTTAGTCCATATTGGGAATTAAATTATCTACAAGCTGCATTTCCTCAGCTAACTGAATGTGATAGACAACACTCTCATTGATAGAATGCAGATGTTCCAAGAAAAGATGGCAAAAGGGATAGAGATCTGATAATGTGTCTCCCTTGCTGACTGATGTCCTTAATGGGAGCTGGGAGTTTGTTCCTTGTGAGCACTTAGGGGCTCCCTAAATCACTGCACAACTATTGAAAGTGGGCTGCTCACCCCCTCGAATGTAGGTCTTCACTGAAATATTAATGCATTTAATTGTCTATCAGAACATCTCCAAATAAAACCTGTTTGAATCCAACTGTAGAATAGAAGGTGCATTAAAGATGTAATGTAGTTATTTTTAAGCAGTGCAAAGTAGCTCCTTAATGAGAATGAGAACATTTGCATAATGCATGGAAGAAATCAAGGATGACAATACCCTACAACTGCTGGGGAAATGAGTTATCTGTTCTGTGAGAGGCCAGGGGTCTGCACTTGTTCCCTAGAAGAAAATCAAATAATGAAGTGTGTGGAGAAGAGGGAGGAGGAGCTGGGCACCATTATTTAAATAAAGTGTGCCTTAAATGTTAAGTTTCTGTCACTGGCTATTAATTTTACCGTTTTGCTTCAAAATTTGTGTTACTTTTTGGGCTTGTCCATATTTCTGTGTGTGTCCAAAATTTTTGTGTGGTAGCATATTGTTTTTGCAGGAAGACTAATGTATGACAAGTACTACAGAAAAAATTGTACTGAAGCAGAGCTTGACACCCCTTCGTGTATTTCAGAGATAATCCATAAAATAAACATAGTCAATCATAGAAATCTAGAAAAAAACAACTTTTGCTGATAGTTTATGTAAAATGTATATTGAGCATCCCTTTTTAAATGGTTTTCTCGATCCTTTTAATTTCACAGGTGAGGTTATTTTAGGAATAGTTTCCATGTATTTTAAAATACATTGAGTTAATACATGTGAACTAATACATCCTATCAATCTGTATAGCATTTTGCATAACGTGCTGCAATTCTGGCTAAGAAATTGGTACATTAAACTTTTTATTTTTAATCACTGGTTCTTTGCAGTGCTTTTAGAATTGCAAATGTGAACACTGTAACATTGCACAGGTACAACTCTGGCTGCCATGGATTGTGGAGACCGTGGAGTACCCTGCAACTGCAAGGCAGCCTTTTCCTGTGAATTGATTTTTTTTTTAATTTATTTTTTCCTGCTGTGATTTCAGTCATGGACAGAGTTACTATAGTAACTATTTGAGATGTATTACAACATGCTCTATTTAATCAGCCAGTTGTCCAGATTTATGCTGAAAGGTAATTAAGGTCTGGTTCTGTTGTTCTGCCTAGTGAAAAGCATGAACCATACCTCTTTGTTCTTGATATTATGATATCCAAATATTCTGAAACTTAAATTGTTTAATCTTGACCCAATATTACTACAATATTCAAACCACAGTGATTTTTGTCTTCCTGGACCTCAGGATACAAGACAAGACTCTGAAATAGATCAGAATTTGGAGTTCATACAAGATGGGAAGAATTAAACTGAAACAGTGGTGGGAAATGGTGAACAGTCTTGTTGCTGTACTTTAAACATGAAAGGCTGAAGATAAATGAAACAGGTTTCAAATAGGGCATAGGAATACAGAATGTGAGCAATGGAGACTGGGAGCCTGAGATAGCATAGGACATGAGGCAGGTTCCATAATGCTGATATGAAATACAGGAGCTGGAGAAGTGTCAGAAGCAGCTCATCTCATACTTCTGATCCTCACTGTAGCGAAGTGTGGAGGGTGAAATGGATTGAAAATAGCAAAGCAAGTATATCTATTTCTTAGGAAAACACACCCTATTTTATATATACTAGGGACAGGATAAAAGAGCAGCTCTGTAGGCGAGTGCTTTTTCTTGTACTGAATGGCTTATGTGGAGTTTCCTGTCAGTGACTGCCCCAAGTCCTTCCCAGAGAGTTTTATCTGTGAAATTTAGGTAAGATTTCTTGCTTGATAGGAAGGTTCCCTTTTAGTGAACTGAAGGAACTTGAGAGATTCAGGTCATCTTTTGAAGTGGTATTTAGGCTACACATGATACCCCTTTTTTCAGGAATTAATTTTGCCTCAGTTGTATTACATGGTTAAGAAAGATGTGACATACTTTTGAACTGTTGGGTAAGCCTTACTTCCTAGGAGTGGGTTCTCGGAATTTTCTTACTTTCCCATCTTTCTCTCAGTCCTCATCCCCCAGCCCCACTAAGACAGAGCTAGAAACTGGTGCTGAAGATAAAATGCATCTCCTTAGGCACTATGGGAGGTCTCTAGGTTCCTGAAGCATTTGTGTCCTGCAGCTGACTGGAAGGATTTGTTAACACTATCTTGTCACTGGGTACCTCGTCTTGGCACTGTCAGTGCCCAGCCAGAATGCATTCTGGATGCAAGATCACCATCTTCTGCTTTAAACTGAATGGGGACAGGAATGTTACTGCCATGTATCTCTTGGGACATACGTCTTTTTTTGGGATACAGATGATGTATTTCATTCTGTATTGTATTGGACTTGGTATTTAGTTAATTTTAAAAAACTCAACAGAATTTTAAACTCTTAAGTTTTTTGAAAGAAAGTTGGTTTCCTGGTAGTTGCTAGCCAGTTAAAACTCATGCTTTCTTCTGATAATTACCTTTTAATGCAGTTCTGCAGAGTATCTCGTTATGAAGTCTTCATGTACACATACTTTAACGTGTCAGGTTTTTGCAAGTGAAAAATTCTATGTGCTGTATGTAGCACACTCAGCAGTTGAATTATGTTGCTATAAAAGCCTTACTTGCACTGTCCTTAAATATAAAATATAAATATATATCTATGTATAAACACAAAACCTTGTGATTAGTAATTTCTCTGTACACTGCTGTTTAACCCTGTGCTCTCTGGTTATGGCTGAAAATCATGTAGATTATTGGTGTCTAATGAAGTTAACTGTGTTTCTAGTCCAGATGTCAGAGCATTTCTTCAAATGGATAACCCGAAACACCAGTCAGATCCATCTGAAGATGAAGATGAAAGGAGCAGTCGGAAGGTAATAAAACAGAAAAGTCTTCTAAATTTTAGCTACTTAAGAGCAATCTTAGGTATATTATTTGCTGGAAGTTACTGGTAGGTTTTGCAATAAATACCTTCCCTGCTTTTTTAAACTACTTAATTCCACTGTGGGCTGTAAGCTGTTTTTCTGTCAGATGTGAATTGCAGAGGGGTAAAAGTGATTGCTGGCTTTGTCTTGCTTCTTCCCCACTTGCTATATGGGTTAAAGAAACAAAACTTCAGTCGTAGCTTAGCTGTCATAGTTTTTGCAATCTCTTCAAAGACTCTTGCTAAAATGATCTGGCAAGGAGCAGGGAAGATTGAATGTTTAATTGTCTTTTTGTTTGCTTGTGCGTTGTTCTTTTTTAAAGAAGAGGAGAAATAGAATTCTCTCAGGGGAAAAAATGCAGTATTTCTAAAAGTCACTCAGGAGCAAGGATGGATTTGATTTCAGTTCACATATAACACTGTGTGAGGTCTGAAGCTTCTTTTGTCACAAAAGCCACTATTATGGCCAGGGGTGGATTCTCTGAAAATTAGTTTACAGCCTTCAGAAACAGTGCTGTTTGAAAAAAAGCAGTATTTCTAGGAAGGCAGAAGTGCCATATGTAAGCTTGTTTTCTCAATGGCTTACTACTTGGCCAACAGATGTGATCTTAGTACTTTTCTTATTCAGGCCCTGTTAAAGATGTAAGAGTTGTTTTGGTTTGTGTGTGATTCAGAGCAGATTTAGTGTGTTCTAAAAGTTTTGATTTCCAGAGACACTGTTTTAAAATACCGTTTTCTTCCTCGTTTGAAAGGTACTTTAAGTAATGTGGAATGATCATAACCTTCTGTGGAAAATTACTAATGTGCCATGCCAGAACAAATTCCAAAATAGGAAGAGAGCTAATGCATAGTGGCCTGGACCCCATACTTTTTGGTAGAAAATTCACCTTCTCATAGTTACTGTAAATGATGAAGCCAAACAACAAGGAACAAAAACAAGCTTTAAAAAAAAGTAGCTTTTTTAAAACTGTCCAGTACCATTGGCTCTTGTTAGTGAGTAGAAGCATCCATTTCTGCTGTCAGGTTATTTTCTGCTTCTGTAGGAGTTCTGATTTTGTGCTGCCTACCAGCCTGGCCCCAGGTAACTTGTATTTGAGTGCAGTTTACCCTTCTCTGATAAAAGTCTAGAACCACAATGAGGGTGCAAGTACTGCTTTTTTTAAATCAAAAACAAAATGGAGAAAATTGTCTAAACGACAGCGGCTTCCTCTGCTCCCTGTAGCTTGCAAATTCTGCCTGGGTGTGTACTGGTAAGATTTCATGACGTTCCAGGAATTGAGTTATTTAACCTTTAATGTCAGGATAGAAAAGGTTGGTAGTGTTTTTCTTGGGGGGGGACAAATGTTCACTTCTGTGTTTTTAAAAGCACTGTGTCTGTCATTAGTTATAATACAAACAGTGTGGGTTTAAAATTATTTTATTAGTAATATCTTGGAAAATTTGGAATAAAAGGCAGAAAACATATTCATAGAGCAAATACACACAAAGCATTAAGTTCTGAATGGGGAACAAGTTGTTTGTTGAAACACTCTTAAATTTTTATTTCTGATTTTGTCCATTGTGGACACAATTATTTTATGACCTACGTCATTAAACGGGATGTATGCAGACATAATTCATGGCAAGGTGATGATGGCCAAATATTTCAACTTAAAGTTATCCAATCTGGATATTAGATCTCTCTAAATGTGTAATATAACAAGTGTAAAAGTATGAATTGAGCAAATTAGTAGAATATTTTGAAATAAGTATTGGTTGAAATATAAGAGAGAATTTAAAAAAAAAAAGGGATTACAAATAAACCTCTTTGTCTCTCCCAACAGTTAAACTCTACCTCACAGAATATCAACTTGGGACCATCTGGAAATCCTCAGTAGGTTTCAATTAAATTGAATTAAAACATAATTCAATTTACTGTAAATGTTTTATTTTGACTAAATTGGATTAAAATTAATTTTAAAACCTGAAAAGTTAGACTGACCTTGGGAACAGTCCCATATCTTAAGAATGTGAACAGCTTCTGAAAACAAGTTTGTTTTAATAATGGCAAAGGACCAGCTTGCTTTGTTGATGTTACAAACCCACTTACTGCAATGGTAACTCGCTTCTCTGTTTGCTGTCTTCTGTAGAGTTTCTGTTCTCAGTTCTGTGTGAATCTGCTTTCCTCATCTAGGAGATGACTGTTATTTTGGTTTTACTTTCCTCACAGATATGTTCTGGGCTAGCAGGAGGAAGTGCTTAATAGACTGCAGTAAGAAAAGAATTTTAAGAGTACTTCCCTTCAGGGTCAATAAATGGAGAGGTGTATGGTGATGTAACTGTTGTTTTGGAGTTTGAAAACATGGATAATTGTTTTGCTGACAGAATTGTATTCAGGAAAGAGTAAAGGAATCCTGGGAAAAACTGAAAGGAGTAGTGATCTGGGAAGTGGAAAAACCGAGACTGAATTCATACATACACACATAGAATAGGCAGGTGTTAGGACTTCCCTCCTCTTACTGAAATTTAAAATGAGGGAGGAATGGGTGGAGGGAAGAATGGAATAAATAAGAGGGAATAGATATCAAACTTAGTCCTTCCTTCCCTCATGTAAGCTTGAGAATCCATTTGGACCTCTAGAAATAAGAAATAAGCTGCAGGAAGAGTCATGGGGAAATGGAGACTTAAGAATTACAAGAAACTAGACTGTGGAGAATAAAAGAACAGTCTTGCTTCTCCTTTATATCTTAAGGCTAAACTTACCAAATAAAATAAGCTCAAAGGATGCAATTTGAACACTTTCCCTGAAGGAAAATGGAATTGCAAAATGAAGAGGAGGTGTTGTCTCTGAGGGCAGGTCTGCAGAAACCTAAGTGTTGGGTGGAATGAGGAAAAGGAGGGTGCTAGCAGGCTGTTGTCCTCACATTACAACTCGAGTGCTATAGTAGACTGCTGTACAGCTTGTAATTTCTACCCAGGTGACCTGTCTCCTTCCTAAATATCTTTCAGTGCTAAACCAACAGACTTTGATTTCCTGAAAGTTATTGGGAAAGGCAGCTTTGGCAAGGTGAGCTTTTGTTTCTGTGTCTTATCCTGGTGCAAGGATGCTGACTGGTTTCTCATGTATAGTGACTGTCAGCTGGAGACCTGACCAGAGGTTTTAGAAGTGGTGTCAGTCTAGGGTGGCATGTAAACTGTTGTACTGGATCCCTGTTGCTGCTGCTTTACGGCCCTGCCATGTTTTTTTCCCTGGTGCGGCCGTTGGCTGCCTCAGTCACTTGTTGGGAGTAACAAAAGGGAGTGTTTCCTTTTCTCATCAAGAGCAATAGGGATCCTCTGTTTCCCCTCAGAGAGGAAGGGAGGTACCACTGTGCTTATGCAGCAGCTGGAGTACGAATCATGTTTTTCCTCATGTTGTCATGGACTATTTTGTGAAACCCCTGATGCTGTGGAGCAATATGAGCCAAGAGCCCATTGAAAAGTGACTTAAATATTGATATTTTTACAAGGTGCCACAGAGAATCCCTCTTGAACTCTCTGCCTGTGGATTGTTTTTCAAGTTGTTGTTTTTCATTAAATTATCTTTAAAATTTGTTCCAAAAAAAAAGCTGAAATTGGTCTTGATAGAGATTTAGCAGGTCATGGAAAATAAATGTTATAATTCAGTCTTTCATGATACCACTATCATGACAGATTTTTACTGAACTGTAAGACTCTATTTGTAGTTATATTGTTGATTGACCATATTAAAAGCAAAGAAACTGTATTGTGAAAATATAGCATGAACACTTTCCAGTTACGCTGAAATGATGAAATTATTACTAACAGAATGTGAACTGCAACAATCACATTTCTGCATCTTTTTTTTAATTTCACAGGTTCTTCTTGCAAAACGAAAACTGGATGGGAAATACTATGCTGTCAAAGTGTTGCAGAAAAAAATTGTTCTCAATAGGAAAGAGGTTAAGAAAAATACTCTTTCTCCACCTACCTCCCTTCTTTTTTCCCTTAATTACAAAATTATTCCTGTTTACTTATTGATCCTTTACTTCTTACAGCAAAAACATATTATGGCTGAACGTAATGTGCTCTTGAAAAATGTGAAACATCCATTTTTGGTTGGATTACATTACTCATTCCAAACAACAGAAAAGCTTTACTTTGTCCTGGATTTTGTTAATGGAGGAGAGGTATGTGGTGGTTTTGTTTGCATTTGAGTCTGTCTATTCTGCTAATTCTAGGTGGGAGGAGCAAAATGATCCTTTACAATGGGCTATGATCAGCATTCTCCTGATTTTCAAAATCCTGTTATTATCTGCTGTTGCTGCAGACTTCTATAGCTGTACAGACTCTGTTCCTCTTATTGACAACTTTAATCCAAATTTATTCATGGTTGTCAGATACAAACAATGTATTCCACAGTTACGTAAATTTACCTTTATTACAAATTAATCTTATATTGACATTTTTCACCATGTAACACGGTCTTTTCCTTGAATGTGCATTAGCTGAGATGCTTATGTTTCAAAAGAGGAAGGAAGGAAACTGACAGCTGAATTTATTACATTGTGTCAGAATTGGGACAAGATGGGCCTTTCTCTTGTCTAATTTACTGTCATCTTATTTAGACTGCATTAGCAAAAACTCCTTGTTTGCTCTACTCTGAATTCCTGGCCACAACTTAGTTTTATATTGTTCTGGGCAAACTAAAATACAGTTCAAAACAGCTTTCAGATTTTAATGAAGTGCTTGGAAAGAGAGGATGGCTTTTTAGTTTTTCCCAAACTTTGTAGGCAGAAAACAGAAAACTTCAGTTTTCTTAAAATATCTGAAAGTTGAATTTGTAGTATAGTTTAATCTTTATGTTAATTATTTAATCTTTGACTAGATTTCTGTATCTGCTCAAATTATTTGAAGCCAGACAACTCTCTGTAGCTGAGAGAATTTGTGGAATCAGCTTGGAATATACATTTCCCAAAGGGATCTACATTTAGGTTATTTCAGAATACAATTTTATAAATAATTAAACAAAACTTTAATAGAAGCGTTAACAGAAATGAAAGATCATTTATTTGACACCAGGTTATAGTCTGCTAGGAGGTCCTCTTGCATGATTTAGTCTTGCCATCTTCTATTCACACCTTAATGATTTGTTCTAGTTCCTTTTGACTAGTCTTGATTTGAGGAGAATGTGTTTGAGTTACTTATCCATTTCTGAGCTACAAAAGAGAAGAGAGAAAGAGAGTAAAGCAGTGACTAAGTCATGCAGCAAAACCAATTTGATTTAATTTTACATTTAAAAAAAGCAGACAGCAAAACAAGTTATTTCTTACTGTTAAAATTATGTTAGAACCTGATTTTTTTGTCTGTGTAATATTCTTATTTACTATTTGCATATTTACAGCTGTTCTTTCACTTACAAAGAGAACGTTCCTTTCCTGAGCACAGAGCCAGATTTTATGCTGCTGAAATAGCCAGTGCACTGGGCTACTTACACTCCATAAATATAGTGTACAGGTACGTTTCTGAAATGTATCCTTGTCCTGCAGAAGTTCAAATTAGTACAAATTACCAGATAAAAAACACTTCATGAAATCATCTTATGGGAAACCTGAACTTGACAATTTGATCAAAACTTGAAGCTTTCAGCTGAAAAATAAAACTCCTTGCCTTCAAAGCTCTTGTAACTGCTGTTTTGAATTAATACTTCTTTTTTTTTGATAGGGATTTAAAACCAGAAAACATTCTCCTAGATTCACTAGTAAGTATGCAAGATTATTTTTGGTTTTCTATGTTTGCTCACAGAATTGACACTTTTGTGTATCCACATGTTCTCTTTTTAAAATACCACTCTTTCTTAAACAGGGTCATGTTGTGTTGACAGACTTTGGACTTTGTAAAGAAGGGATTGCAACTTCTGATACCACTGCAACTTTCTGTGGGACCCCAGAAGTATGTTGACAACTTTTGCAGGGCTTTTTGTAGTAATTAATGGCTGTTGACTGTTATTAGTGTTTGTGTAACTGGAGGATCAAATATTGTGGTTTGTACTGTTGCATTCTTTTAACAAGCTCTTCCATGAAACCAAACCAAAGACAAGCTTCCTGAAGATCTTTTCCTTTTTCTTTTCACTAATACACAATAATAATTGTCTACTGTGTACTGCCTACATCACCATAACTCATCTCTTCCTTCCTCTGTTTTTCCAGCCCTTTCCAAACATTATTTCCTCCCATGTCTCCTAAATGCTGGCTAGACAAAAGACAGCTTGTGTAACAGCTGCTTCAGATTTGTCAATATGAATCTACTTACCATATCCTGCCACTGATTTTTAATAAGTTTATAGGGAATTAGTATCAGTGACTCCTGAGCAAGTTATTGCATACGCATGAAACTTTGAACTTGCTGACTGAGTTATTGAACTCTCTTGTCTTTTTACTGAGAAAACTGTACTGGAAAACTTAGACTCTGTAAGTCTTGAACACATATGAGGGATTCACTGAAATATCAGCATTAATAGCTTTGGTAATTTGATAAACATACTTTAAATTACAGAAAAGATCTTTGCGGGCAGTGAAGCATGAGTGAGTATTTATTTGAACTAAAAAAAAAAAGGTCAAGTAGTTGATTTCAAAATACTTCAGCTGCTTTTCTTGTTTTTCCAGGGTCACCGATAGACAAGTGAGTTACAAAGCACTCACATATAGAGAAAGTTTGGGAAATACTGATCTAATTAAACTGTGATCTAATTTCAGTCTGTGCCTTTTTGGACAATGCTATCATCTATTTGTAAATCAATTTCAGAATTTGAATACTAGAATAATAGAAGTAAGCATCCTCTTGTTTTGAGAGGTTAGAAACCGTGCTGTAGATAAGGACTCACATGATGCTCAGTAATAGTAATTTTATACTATATACTCACAAGTGATGGTCTTGTATTATGAAGTGGCTGTCCTTGTGCTGTAGGGTTAGTAAGCTCTGAGAAACTGAGCAGATTTTGTGCAAGGCAGATGGAAACCAGTTATCATAGTCATTCAGTGTGTAGTGGATTTGATATTTATGACAAATCAGTCAAGTGATACTTGTTTGACAAAAATCTGTAACTCAGCAACTCACAACTCATGCTCTCATTAAGATTTACAATTAAACTTAATATAGGTCATACAGTTTCTCATTAATTATAGATTTGAGGCAGCATTTATATCTTCTCGTTTCATTTTTATGTACTGGATGGGGGAGCATACAGGCTTAGGATGGCAGAACAGGCATGGCTAGTCACCCACCTTGCTGAGAGATGTTCCCTCTGCAACAGTGCAGCAACCTATCTGAAATGTAAAACAAGTTTCATAAGAAGTGTCAAAGTAGTTTGAAAAAACAATAGTGTGTGGGAAGTATCGTTTCAGTTGGGAAAACTGTTGTTCTACTTGGTAAACAACCAGATGATGATGAAGTTATTTTCCAGGTTTGTTGAAGGAGATAAATACTTCACAGACTTGCAATTGTTATGATGAAGCAGCTTTTCCTAAAGGTGTTTACTGTGGTGTGACTAAAACCTGGGTTTTATTTGTGCTGGCCTAATGCTCTGAAATACTTCCTTATATATATATTTTTTTATTTTTTTTTTTAGTATCTTGCACCAGAAGTCATTAAAAAGCAGCCCTATGACAACACAGTAGACTGGTGGTGTCTTGGCGCAGTTCTTTATGAAATGCTTTATGGGTTGGTATGTACCTGATATGTGGGGGGTAGGAGTCGCTTTCCTCCTCTCTCCTCCTTTATTTGAAGTAACCCTCGAGTGTTGTTAAAGATGCTAACTTTTTGCATAATATTGAAATACTCCACTTAAATGGATGAACAGATTGTCTTGTACTTAACATAGCACATGTTTTTCTCTTTTGGATTTTATGTTATCTCTTGGTGTCCAGCAGTTCACCAAAAAGCCAAATTGTAGACATCAGCTCCGATGAAGACAGTCATCCCTTTGAGGCAGTGTGAGAGTAAACTGAATTAACAGTGATAAGACCCAATTAAAAAACTTAGCTTAAAATTTTGTCAAGTACTAGAATAAAAAAAATTTAAATAATTTTTCTTACTTGGGTCTCCTATGTTTTTTCCTAGCTTTTGATGCAGCACTGGAAGAAAAAATCTTACTATGCTGCTTCTAGTCATATGTAATTACTCCAGTAACAATGTGTTCTTTTCTCAAGTTTTATCTCCTCTCATAGGACCTTAAATAGGGAGAGAGATTTTTTTTTCCCGCTCTCATGTTCTTTTCAGGCAAGTTCAATGGGTGCTTTGAAGTTGGATGGCATCTATGCCTATTTATGAGTGTGAGAACATGTTAGGAGGAGAGGAGGTGGGTGGGTGGGAAGTTATCAAGTGTAAAGTTGTGGCAATGGTGATGACTGAACTATAAGTTAGCAGTACGTGAGAAGTAGATTTCCCCACTGCTAGCAGCTCGTGTGTCTTATAGAATCATTTACTGATCATACAACACAATTTTGCGTGTGAGTTCAAATTCATGTGAACTTGTATTTTTTAGCCTCCTTTTTACTGCCGCGATGTTGCTGAGATGTACGATAATATTCTTCATAAACCCCTGGTTTTGCGCCCAGGAATCAGTCTCACAGCCTGGTCTATCCTGGAAGAGCTTTTGGAAAAAGATCGACAAAGCAGACTTGGAGCAAGGGAAGATTTTGTAAGTGATATCCTATTTTATCAAGCCCTGTGTCATTTAAAGGGCCATCACCAAATTCACGTGCGCAGCCCTGGATTAATAGCTGGAGATAGAGATTGCACTACTATGTGTGTCTCTGTTTTCCCCCTTTTTATTTCTTTGTTTTTAAGAAGTTGATGAGAGAAAAGTGTCTTCAAAACTGTGTGATGAAGAATGATCTAGAAGGATGTACTCCGTCCATTAACTGTGAAATCTTTGTAGTCTTCTATTTGCAATCCTAATGTTAGATATTCTGCTGACTTTAGATTATAAGCATTTAGATTATATCATTGTACCTTTTACAGAGTGGAGCAAGATGAAATGATTTAGCACAGCTGTTTGCTGCTTCATAACTAGTAAGCACATTGCAGAGTTGTTGAAGCAGCTGCTTCTCAGACGGTGGTATGCTCTACAAAAACTAACCAAGCTTTAAGGCATGAACAGATACCAACAGAAAACATCCTTGCTCTATGGTAGACTTCAATATTGTTGTTTTTATGGGTTAAAAGCAGAAAGTATGATCTTAAAAGGAAACCAGTTTATAGAGGCAGGCTAAAAAGTTTTAATTCCTCTTCACCAACTACAGTTTTTATTGCAAAGTAAACTATGAGTAAACAAACTGATAAAGCACTTGCTTATGGGCATGTATTCTGAAGTAGAAGTTACTGTGATGCACAGGATGGATTTCCGAAATATCTAAAATCTTTATTCCTTACTGCAGCTTGAAATTCAAAAGCACCCGTTTTTTGAATCTCTCAGCTGGACTGATCTTCTTCAGAAGAAGATTCCGCCACCATTTAATCCTAATGTGGTAGGTGCCCGGTGCTGGTTTAGTGCTAAATTTTTGCTTTTGAGGGCTCATCTATTTGCAAAGAGTGTTTGTTTCAGAATAGTGAAGAATGGGATTCCCCTGCTGAGTGCTGGCTGCCTTTTTGAGCAGTCACACTTTTGAACCACAATACCGTCTTTTTTTACTTAAAACTCAGTTTGATGGATCCCTGTTTCTTCTGCTAGCTCCTGTCAAAGTCCTGCCAATTTTTGTGGGGTCCGAAGATTGAAGAAAAAGTACAGATAACTTATCAAAGACTTCCCAAAAGACTGGTTTCCAGCTTTTTTAATAGCTTTTACATCTTAGTTGCAAATTTTCTCTGTCCTTCCATCAGTTTAAACTGGGTCAACCTGTGACTGCTTGTCCAAAAACTCAGGGCGAGGTGAGACCAACAGTGGGGAGGAAATCCTTCCTGCAGTCACATCAGAGGATCACTTTTTGTTGAGCCTGTGTCTGGTGAAAGAAGCCTTAGCTGTCTTGTTGCTTCTCTCTGTGACTAAATATTACTATGTTGAGTTCTTAGGTGTTCACTGGGAAGCTGATCTATCTTAACAGTACCATTGCTAGAACTTAGCACTTTAAGAGATTATTGATGGAAAAGGGAGAAAAAGAATTTGGTGTGTTTTGAGATTTTTTTTTTCTGATGGGTTTTGGGGTTGTTTTTATGTTGGTTGGTTTGTTGGATATGTTGTGGTTTGGGGTTTTTTTTGGGGGGGGTGTTGGTGTTTGCATCTCCTTAACAATCATTTAAGAAAGATACATTTCTTTATATTTTCTAGGTTAATCAGGTTTGGCCCAAGCTCCAGCCTAAAAGAAAAAAGCACCCCTTCAATAGTTATGTTCAGGGATGCTGCAGTGTGCTTCCTTAAATTTCCTATACTTAAATAGGAAAAAATGACATAGACTAGACAGCTTTGAGAACTAAGTTTGGAATCTAAAGGACAAGGACAAGTTTAAAACACCATATTAATATGACAACTAACAGATCTTTCTGTTTTCTAGGTTGGACCAGACGATATTGGGAATTTTGATGCAGTATTCACAGAAGAAATGGTCCCATACTCAGTTTGTGTTTCTTCGGATTACAACATCATTAATGCCAGTGTCCTAGAGGCAGATGATGCATTTGTTGGATTTTCTTACGCACCACCTTCTGAAGACATGTTTTCCTAGGAAGTTAAAAGCGAAGAATGTCTCGGAAGTCTTGGAGTGAACTGAAATGTTAGGGTTATGGACACATTCCAAAATAGCATAACTAGTGCCTCGTTTTGTATGTAGGTTTGAGACCTATGAACAAACTTTCTCTGCTGTATAGGAGGAATTTGGGCATTTTGGATGGCTTTCTTTGGGATTTGAACTGTTTGTTCCTGCTGCAGAAAATATTTTTTAAAACCTTTAAAAAGCATTCTCTACATATTTTTTAAGCAAAAACACTGACTGTTCTCCTCAATCCCTTCAAGTTTACATTCATACCTATCTAATTTGCCTGGCACAAACAGCAGCAAATTTAGTAAATTTATAAATGCTTTTGTACTTATTTACAGTGACTTTGTGCTTGAATTGTAACTATGCAAATTGTCTTTTGTATATCCTGGTTTAAAAAAGGTAAATGTTTTCCCTGTTAACAGTTGGAAATGTGTTAATTTACCTGTCAGCACTTAAATGAGGGGTTAATATAAGTTAAGGACCAAGATTCTTAAAGGACTTCTCCAGAATGAAAACTTGGTTATGTAAAACTGGATTCTTGCTCTTGCTGAAGTACCCGTTGGCTCAACTGGATTATCTGAGGTATGGGGGATTAACTCAAAGCAAGGATGGAACAAATTAACTGGATTGATTGATAACATTACTTATTATGTGTTCTACTTTTCTTCCTGAGCTAAATATGTCTATATTTCAACTACATTAAAAATATTTTTGGTTAAAATTCTGCTTCTCCAAAGATATAAAAATATGCAATAATCACCATTACTTTAAAAGGCTATCTTGCTTTGATGTTTTGGGTGTGGGTGGTGAGGGGATCATGCCAAATATTAGGGATTTTTCTCATGGATTTGTAGTTTAAAACACTAATGTGTTCCAAATTGATTGTATTTCAGCATTCATAGCTACTTGTCTTTCTGTTCCAGTTTGCACCATTTTTAAATCTTCACTTGATATTGGGGGGGGAAATGTAAATTACACTGATAATTTTAAAAATGTGAAAAGCTGTTGTATTCCTCATAACATACACATGTATGGACAAACAGATAATACTGAACAATTTCTGTTTAAGGAAATTTTTTTAAACAATGCAAAAATTGACTGCAGTTACAGTGTATAAAGGCCTATCATGGTAGTTTATTATATATATTACTTGTAAATAACAACTTATTTTTGTCTGTTACTTCAAAAATGTTCTGTGGTTTTTTGTTCATAAATACATTTAGTTAAATGCCTTGATTTGAGAGAAGATACTGATGTATCATAATAATACATAAATTGAATGAATGTTACATGAATTTCAGTATCTAAATCATCTTGTTTTTGACAAAATAAGCAGTTAAGATAAATAGTCTTTGTATTCCATCAAGATCAGATAAAAATTGAGAACTTAGGGGAAAAGAGTGTATTGAATTGTAATTCTTTTGAAATAAATGTTGTGTCGACAGTGAAAAATTAGGTAAGTGGAAACTAAAACAGGATTCCTTGCTTATCTCAAAGCGTATCTCCTATAGCACAGTCTCCTGCATAGTGGTTAAGTGATGCTGAGCAGTTGCTATGTGACGTTTTGGAAGCAGTGATTGGGTTAAAGAAGTAAAAATTGACATCGGCATGGAAGGTCGGAAGGAACTGTAACACTTGTGGGAGAGGAGTGGTGGCTTGGCACTCATTTTCCATAGTTTTCTTCTGCAAGGATTGGAAATAGCTATGTGCCTGCTCAGGACAACTAGCAACTACATGAATAGTGTTCTTGGAGTTACAATCATTTGGAAGCAACAACCTTGGTGTTATTTGGTTTGGTTTTGGGGTTCTTTTGGGGTTTGGTTTGGGTTTTTTTAACATATATTTTTAATATCAGTCTCTGATGGACTGGAGAGCAGAAATTGATGATACGAAAGGAGGTATCTATTCTCATACTGAATTTTTACTCTGTACGCTCCTGAAATTATTGTGGCTACTGTAACTACCTTTCCTTTATGGCAAGGAGGTACACTACTCTAGAGAGATGGGAAGGAGAGGGGTTCATTCAGAAATTGTTGCTGTGGGAGATAGCACTCTTTTTAATTTTCGTCTTGTATTTCCAAAATGTCCATACCTAGCTGCCTGACTGGGTGAGGGCTTTTGGTTTTTTCTTTTTGGCCACAAATTTGGGGGTTCTTTCCTTCTTTTTTTTTTTTTTCCCCTTTAAGAAAATATTATGGCAGTGGTAGTTGAAGTTATTTCTGGGAGAGCAGCTTAATAATTGCTTATTAAGCTTTTTAATATTGCTTATTAAGCTTTTCCTTCAGTAGATTTTGCCTTTTTGGTGAAGTGTCAACATGTTAAATGCATCACTTGCAATACTTAAGTTCTTTGAATCGGGACTTCTGAAGATTAACAGACTCTGTGTACAACATCAGGCAATAAAGCCTTGTTCTAGTTTCTGAATCACATGAGGGTGGTTTCCAAAGTAAGACAGATGGGTTTGGAGTGTTCGTAGCCACTTCACCCGGGGCTGAGCTGAAATGTGACATCTGAAGCACTTGGTAAAGCCTAGAGAGGAGACCAAATCTGCCCAGGAAACCACCTTTGGTACTCCTTTCCTGTTTGGGCATATAAGTAATAAAGGAAGGTAAAGTTTGCCTTTTTGTGACTAATGCAGGTCTGTAGCGAAAGGGGATTGTTCCTCCCTTTCCACAGAGAGAACCCAAGCACCCCATGAGGAGCAGGCCTTTCTGCTGTGGAGGTGCTGTGGAGGCCGAGGAATGGTGCTGCCACTGTGCCCTCCCGTCTTTTGGTCTAGAAGGGGGTAGGAGCAAGAGAGACCACAGGAAGATGGACTGAAGAAAATGCACAGTGGTTGTAAAAGTGGGAAATGAAATACAACAGAAATAGAGTTCAGAAGTGCTCTCTCAGGAGGTAAGTTCATGGATGGCTGGCGTGCTAAAGGCAAGCAGTTAAATATGCAATATGTATTAATGGAAGAAAATGGCCTTATAAGTACGTTGTCTTTTAGTACTTGATACGCTCTCAGTGCATGACCCTTGTCCAGTGCCCTGCCTGGCCCGTGGGTGGAGGCAGTAGCCATGTGCTCCCTGGGGCAGAGTCACCAGTCCCGATGGTGGCAGCGAGGCTGGGCCATCTGTGGGCGTCGTATGCGCCTGGGTTTCGCTTCCCTCAGGACTTGGGAGTGTCCACAGGCGCTCCCCTTCGGGACGTGGCCCCGCGGCGCTGAGCCCTGCGGGCTGTGGCGCCGTTCCCGCCCGCGCTGCCGCTGGCTCGGGGCTCGTTCCCGCCGCATGAGGGGCTGAGGGAGCGGCGCCAGGAGCCCAGTCCTGCGGCTGTGGAGCCCTCGCTGCCGCCTCGTACACGGCCCCGTTCCCCTCCCCGCGGGCACAGCGGCGCCTCGCAAGGAGCAGTGTCAGGGCTCGGAGCCCCGCGGTGGTGAGGGCGGCCCGGTCCCCTCGGTGCCCGTGGCCAGTGCCCACTGCTGCCGCTCCAGCAGTGCTTAGGAGGGGGCATAGGAAGCCTGGAGAATACTTTGGTGGAGGTGTTTGTGAGGAAGGGGTGCTGATGGCGGGAGCCTGAAGCCAGATGAGAGATGATGGGTATCCACGCCAAGTCACAAATAGGGTTAGCTGGCTGTGGGGACGCTGGTGAACACGGTCACCCTGGTAGTGGGAATAGTCAGACTTTATTTTTTGAAGCTTAGGTGATGACTCTTCAGTGCACACTGAGCTGGGCCATAGCTTAATCCTTCCTAGTTGTTTGGTGTCCTGTTTTTCTGGGCCAGGAAACAGGGGGTCCACAGTGCTACAGTGTGTGTTTCTTTAATCTCTTCTTGCTGAAGATTTGTGCAGTAGTAACCCCAAAGAAACTGGGAAAAAAATAAAATCCCTATTAGAAATTCTATTTCAATCTGTGCTTATAATTTGTTACTTCAGGCACTAAACACATCCCAGCCCACAGCATACAATTCTCAGGCCACAGGGTTTTACATTGCTGCCACACTGACATTGTGCTGGAAACCAGTTACTCCTCTATTAGATGTTGATGATCTGTTTGTCCTCCTGAAGCCACTTCTGTGAACCCCTACAGGGGATCTTCCATATGCTGTGAGCTTTGATTCCTCATCAGCTCAGTAATTCTGTGTCCTATCCTTTACCAGGTAGCTAAATCTTACTTTTGAAGATTTGAATGGCATTTCACATTGGTCATCTGCAGAGAGGACAAAGGACGCTTTGCAGAAGAAAATCTGTAAGACAGGAAAACAGATGCATATATACAAAATGCCATATTTTGGCCTTAGTAATTCTTCTAAATTCTGCAAAATAGTGCTTCGTGGTATGAGACTCTACACTAAAAAAAAAAAAAGGTAGATATGTGGGTAATACACAATGAAAACAGCACTGAAGATCATGGTCAGCCTCCAAAACAAAATCATAATTGTAAAAGTTTTGTCTATGGGAATCAAAATTGATCTTCTGTGTACATGGGTGGAAATAAGCATTTGCGAGATCAGCATCTGGGCGCTACAGGAGGTAACAACAGAGTAGGAAAGATTTTAAAGAAGAGAAAAGATGTTTCCCAATTTCACACTTTTAACAGCTATGACAGACTTATCAAATAAGGGAGATAAAATTTTAAGTCTTACTTTTGATAGACTGATTATACCTATAAAATAAACAGGGGAGGTTAAGTTAAATGCAAGCTTTAATTTCATGGGTTAGGGAATTAGGAGAGTGAAATAATTCACAGGGGGAGAGGGGTGGGGAAACACGTTAGACCATTCTTCAGAAATTCACTCTAGGAATGGAGTATGCTTCAGCCACTGGAAACAACTTCCATTCATGTCATTTCAAAATCCTTAAAGAATTGCATAGTTTGAAAAAAAAGACTATTTTAATTTTGTATAGATTTGCTAATATATACTAGTAGTAGTAGTAGTAGAAGTTCTAATATAATTTTTTCACAGTTTATACGCGCAGTTTGAGAAAGAGTGCAAAAATCTTGGAAGATGCATCCTGAAATACAGAATATGAGGGAAGTTGCCCTTGTTTACCTTGACAGAAGTGGCGGCCTTCAGAAATTTGTGCATGATTGCAAAAGATATAATGGTATAACTCACTTAATACATAGTCTGTTAAATTGATACATAATGTTACACAAATCTCTGTTATTTTAAGATGCTTTTTGCTCCTGCAGATTCAAAACAAAGTTATGCTGTTTATCGTTTCATTATTTCAATAAATCCTTCTGACATTGCTGAATTGGATGCAACTCTTGGAAACTATATTCTTCATAACCCCCTACAAGCTGCACAGATTTTTCAGTCAGTAAGTGTATATTTATAGATGAGTAGACAAAAGTATGGCTTCGATATTTTAACAAGACTTCCATTCTAAAATGAAGTTATTTTTCTCCCATAGGTATGCTTCATAGCTATTAAGACATTATCATTAATTGAACAATTGGAGACAGAGGCCCAGGTGAGTCTGCATTGGTTTTCTCCATTTAAATCTTACATCTTCTAAGTATAGTGAAGTATTAACAAATGTTTTTGTATTAAGTTTTCATTTTCCCTTTGGCTGTAGTATTATTTCTAATTAAAAATAGTTGGAAGTTCCACCCAGCCATATTGCAAGAATTTTGAGACAATTAATACAAAACCTAATTACTCTTCATGTGTTTCTGAAAATATTTTTAATATTTAGATATCATGTTGTGTGTTTTTCCGTGGAAAGTAAAGCAGTTTTAAATAAAAATATATTTTTATTATATTAATGCAATTGTGTCTCTTGCTAGATCAGTATACTGCTGAAACCAACACATTTGCCACCTTTACCAAGTTATGTTCTGAGTCTTTCTGCATATCCCTTTAATTACACATCTCAAAGATTTTATATGTCTGAAGGGATAGTGATCGCAATGGGAACTGTAACAAAATACACACAAGGAGCAAGATTTCTTTGTGCTGAGGAAACCTGTCCATTCTCTGAAGGTAGTAAAAAATAATAAATAAAAATCAGTACTATTTCAAAAGCTTTTTAATAAATTTGGAAACGAGAGATTAAAAGCCTAACATAAAAAAGGTATTCTCCTATATAGTTTTATTATGCATATATTTTTGTAATAAGCACAGTAGGATTTTTATTAATCGAAAGCAGTGGACCTTGCCCAGTATTATTAAATGTTTCTGGAGCATAGCTATGCCAGCAATCCCTTTTCCTAATGCAGAAGATAGTTTATATGGGAAAAGATATGTTGCCAAAATATTTGAAAGTAAAAGAGCTAAACTAGTAAAATACCTTTTCCCTTGGAAACTGTGTTTCTAATTACATAAAAATACCACAGAAGAATATGCTTAAGTGGCTGGCAAAAGGCTTCAAGCACAGAACAAGTTTGCTTTAATGAGTAGCTGACTTCTGTGGAACTACTTCTTGGAGTAATATTGCTGAACTGCTTGTACCATTGTGGGGTGAGGCCTTAAGTATTTTTAAGGCTGTTTTGTTTGATTCTTCCTGTAACAGAGACCATACAGTTATAAAAGAGATTATAAATCTCAAAGTTTGGAGACTGCAGAATAAATCATACAGATATCTTTATGAGGGCACGTACCTCCATATCCCATGTCATTCCCACGCCAGGCAGAAGCCGCCAGTGGCTCGCTCCTCAGAAAGCCTGGCCAACCCGTTCCGCTTGGGAACGTGCAGTAGGAAATTCTGCCATCTCGTGGTCGCGCCACAACAAATTATATGCATCATTTTAGTGGAAGCAGCGTATATGAAGGGAGGCTCATCTAAAGAAACACATGATAAATTTGGAATTTCACTGTCCAGTATTTTAGTCGCTTCTGTTCTTGATGAGAATTTTAAAACTAAAGCTATGCCCTCGAAATGTTTGGTAAATTGGTTACTTCTTTTTTAGGGTTTAGGTACATCAGAGTGCATTGTCCTGGAGCTACGGAGTCTGCCACAGTTAGGACTGATTTTGTGTGTAGCTTGTGTTCTTCACCACTGCAGGAAGACATGAAATTTAGAGTACTTGGTGGTAGGATCTATGTAATCTTATTTTCAGATCTGGTACTTTCCTATTTCTGTTACACAATAAGTAAACAAAACAGTTAAGTGGAAAAAGCCCCGGAATAAACCGGTCATTAAAAAAAAAATGTTTTCAAGAGAACTAACTTTTTTCTCTGCTTTTGTTTTGAAAGATAAACAAATAGTTGAAATGATCGATGCTAAAATTCTGAATGCTTTGAAAGGATATTCCAACGATAAATCACATTTTAGGATTCAGGCATTTACAGTTTTCTTGAGAGGTAAGCTGAATTTTAGAGATTTGTCAAAAATGTTTTAGAATCGAACTGTAATAATCCCTTGCATTTTATCTGTAACTCCATTTCTCTGGATAGAATGGTGGAACTCAAAATTTACATTGCAGATCTTTATGTATTCCCCCCCCCTTAATTTTATTGAAATTAGGTAGGTGACAAAACAGTATGCACAGGTGATTGCAGAGTGCACAAAGCAAAACTCTCATGTTCACTTTTGTACCTCCATTTAAAGAAAATCTCCTGGCCAGCTCAGCAGTGCTGCATTCTGTCATTTGTTTGTTCCTCCTTTCTACTTCCTTTGGTAATGCTATTCTGTACTAACTTCATGCCTTTTTAACATCCTTCCTCAGTCTAGCTGTTTTCCACATTCCATCACGATTCTTGGCTTCTATTACCACTACCTACCTACTACTAAAAAACAATCTATGGGTAAGATACCATGAGTTGCATGCATTAAATTTCCAGTGGCTTCAGTGATCAGTGAGGCTAGACAGTGTCTCACAGGCTGATTCATATTTGGTTGGACCTAGTTCTCATTTCCAAAAAAATAAATGGATTTTTTTAAAACATGCACAGAAATACTAAGGTTCACAAAGCTATTTGTGAGTCTTTTTGAAATCCGTGTAATCTGTATCTACTCTTTATTGTGTTGGTTTTTTTTCTGTGACATTTTATGGAACAGTTACTGAAATGGTGTTGCCAGAAATGTACAAGTAGAAACACATACTTGCAAACAACTGTCCATTTCCTTTTCGATGCAGAACTAAATGCATCCATTTCTTTATCAGGAAACTATTTTTCCTCACCCAGTGTGCCTTCCTTACCTTTTGCACTAATTAATTAGAATCGTATGCTTCATTTTATTCTAGTCCGTTATGGTCAACCTGGCATCCAGCTGTTGTTTTCTGCTGATGTTAAATCATAAAATCAAACATTCAGACTGTGAAGAAGTTTTCTGACCATGTCTTTAAAATTATTTTTATGCCCTAACATATCTGCAGGTCTGCCTCCCCCCCCTTTTCTTTTTTATTTATTTCTAGATGAACTGGCCAATAAAATGACAATAGGAAACCACTACAGGATTATAGGAATTCCAGCTTGTGTACAAAATGGCTTACAAGCTACTGCATGTATAGAAGTAAATAGCATACAGCTCTGTAAACCAAATGGTAAGAAAGTTCCTTTAAAAATTGACTGAAAAAAGTTGCAAAACCTTCTGGAAAACAAAATCTTGAGAACTGGTATAGTTTTCTATTCCCTAGAGGTCCAGATTACAAAACCACTCAGGGACTTTCCTCTTGCAGTCTGAAATGTGTACTTGCTGTTATTTGATAATATCTGCTTTTGCCCGCTTTCCATGCATTGGGAAACTACCTAATTATTTACTGCAGTTTTTCAACTTCTCTTTCCAACTTCTCCTATCCATTGGAAGGCACTCTGAAATCATGTTAAATGAACCTGATATTTGAGTTTGTTATTCCCTTCAACCTTTTTACTTTTTACCTTTACTATTTTTTAGTAGTACAGATGTCAGATGTTTACATTCTGAATTTGTGCTTAATACAGAAACATATTAATTAAGTTTTGTATCAAGACTAGAATTAATTAGTGATTTGTTCTAATATATCTGCATAGGTCTCTCTTAAGTGTTTGTTAACCTCTACTTTGTTTCCATTAGGTCCTTCTTTTCTCAGTGACAATTTTAAGTATCTGCTCTCATTGACTTCAAGTTCATGCTGGAGGTTTACTGCTGTCTTGGCCAACATCTTTGCTTCTCAAGTTGTTCCACCAGGCACTTACAATACTCTTAAACTTGCAATATTGCTGAGTCTAGTACAGACATGTGAAAAAGAAAATGCAGATTATCTGGATCTGTTGATTGTGACAAGTGACACACTAGTAATTGATAGGTAAAGAGATTCCTTATTTTTCACATAAATTAGAATTTAAAATTAGTATTTTTAAAGACAATAGGATCGGTCTTACATGAAAAGCTAGAGACTATATATATAAAAAAAAATGCAAGGCTCAAACTTAGTAAAAACAATAATTTTTTTTCCCTGAGACATTTTTATTTCTTTCAAATGATAAATGTAGATCACAACTTTACTGATAATAAACCCTCTTACCACTCTCATAATGATAGCAATAAGAATTCAGCACTAGCACTGTTCAGCAGAGCTCAAACAAAACATTATTCTAAAATCAAAACTGAAGACTGTCCCAGGAGATGGTAATGATAAAAACAAAGGACTAAACTTTTAAAATCTTGTGTCACTTGAAGCCTTTCCATCACTGGTTCCCAGCCATCAGCATTTTCAGTTAATAAGCAGTGTGTAAATCATTACTCCCATTTTTATCTCTCTTTTTCATAATAACTGTACTGATAAGGTATCACAAGTCACGCACATCTTTACATGTCGACCATAAATCCAGTTATTGTTGCCTTTAACTAAACATTTTTCTATATTTTCCCATTTTATGTATTTACCTCTTAGTACAACTATAAACTGTAAACACAATTTTATATAAGCTGCTGAAAAGTATAATATGTTCATCTTTAAAATTACATTATCTTAAACAAAACTGCTTTCTTCTTCCCAAGATCAAAATAGGGCTTCACTTTCATTTTTGAAAAAGATTTTTGAAAGTGGCACGAACCTTATTTTAATTTGGAAATTCTTTAGAAAATTCATTAATATCTTATGTTGTGGGAAAAAAATACTTAGACCATTTCAAAATTTAACTGTAGAAAAATTAGTTCAAATTTAAAAAATGTGGGCTGCAAGTTTTTTTTCCCCCAGGTTTAGAGTAAGATTTCATAGGAGAAGCAGGAGCTCAGAGTGTTTTAAGAATCAAAACATCTGGTTAATATTAAAAGAGTTGCACACTGTAAATCTTGATCAATATTGTAATCTGTATTGTCTTGCATGTGCACAGTATTTTACTATCAGCAGCCTGTCAAAGTAGCCATTTCCTACATCATATATCTATTGGTGTGATACTCTATTTACTAATACTTACCAGTTTTGCTCAATCATTTTCTCCCTGGTATTAACAGTAGGATAAACCATGCTCTGACATCTTAAAATCATTAGAAACCTTTGATTGTGGAACCAGACAGACAATTTGCAACATCTCTGTGCCAAGGAACATAGTACAGGGGATGAAAAAGATATTCTATACCTTCTTTCTCCAAAAGAATTGGGGAGGTGGGGGTGTAAGCCAAGAAGGCAGATCTTAGAAGTTCCAGCCTTTTCATTTTTCCCAGATGGCCAGGATTACTAATCCTCTTACCTTTTAAATCACTGGAAAAGTATCTCTAGAATAGAAAGAGGAGTTAACAATATGGGGTTATTATGAGACTTCTTTGACTTCCTAGAAATCACTTATATTGCAAACCACGGTTTGCCTCATGTTTAATCCATAAGAAATACCATCCTGTTGGCAGCTGTTGGAGAGAAAGCTTGGAGCTCTACCTTTGCATTTGAAGTTAAACATTTAGTTTTGACACTGGTTCCATATTAAAGGTTTTTTTTCTTGTCGTTGTATCTAAGTGAGTCTTAATACTTTATAATGGTATTTATATATATTAAGTATGGTATTAAGGTTTTTTTTAAAGTGAACAATAATTTAAGAACTTATGACTGACAGCATTATTTAATCCTGCAGGCTTCTGAATTACAGTTTGTGCCTTCTGCCTCGTGGCATACGACACCCACCTTCCAGTGAAATTTTTCCTTCTGTGTCCAAAGATAAACATGGAACTGGAAGTGCCAGTATTCAAGCCTGCAGCGCTGTGCTGGCCAAGGGTGGTGTCTGTTACATAGGAGACTTATCTTCATATAAAAAGGATAAACTTGAACTTCTACAGTCTGGTAATCTCCCACCTCCAAACAGACGAGGGGAGAGAACTAAACAAACACAGAAATTCACAGCTGGGTTTGATCCCCAGCTTACAGGCCTCAAATGCTTCAAAAATCCATAAGCTGTTTTTAATGAGTCTGTGTAAGAAATAAGGACAAAAATGCCAAGGTCCTGTAAACTTGTATTTGCTGCACTACCAAGATCCATTAGTCATGGCAATTCAGAGAAATGAGGGCAACAAAGATGGTGAAGGGCCTTAAGGGGAAGCCATATGAGGAGCAGCTGAGCTGACTGGTCTGTTCAGCCTGGAAAAGACTGAGGGGAGACCTCGGCAGTCTACAACTTCCTTGGGAGGGGAAGAGGTGGGGCAGGCACTGATCTCTTCTCTTTGGTAACCAGTGACAGAACCCAAGGGAATGGCCTGAGCTGTGTCAGGGGAGGTTTAGGTTGGATATTAGAAAGAGGCTTTTCACCCAGAGGTGGTTGGGCACTGGAACAGGCTCCCCAGGGAAGTGGTCACAGCTCCAAGCCTGACAGAATTCACAAAGCATTTGGATGATATTCTCAGGCATGTGGTGTGACTCTTGAGGATGGTCCTGTGCAGAGCCAGGAGTTGGACTTGATGATCCTTGTCAGTCTGTTCCAACTCAGCATATTCTGTGATTCTGTGAAATCATAATCGTGACTGGTTTCAGATAATGTGTGTGGTACTACAATTTATAGTCAAGCTAAATCAATCATGTAACTGATTAGTTTTATCTTATCCTAGTACTAGAGAGCAGAACAACAACGGTATTTATTCCTGGGAAGAAGTACGGAGAAGAAGCTGACCAACAAGTTACTATTTCAGTTCAGACCAATTTTTGGTCTTTTGTGGATGTGGATTCTTCCTCGAAGAAACATATCCAGAAGGAGAACTTTTTAATTGGACAAATGGTAAAGGACATGCCTTAGTATGACAGGAACTGTATTATAGCTGTTATTTGTGTTTATTGTTATTTCAACTGATAAAATAATGAAAACAATTAAACTTGTTAGTATTTCCAGAAAAGTCACAACTTTAGTGATTTTAAATCAAGTATCTTCTAAAATGAGGTAGCTTTCCCAAACATAGGGATCAGTGAAACAAAATTTTACTATTATAGGTAAATTCATTGGATAATCTTGCAGTATAATGAATATTGAATATTTCAGATGGAAAACACTGTGATGTTTCTACAAGTCAAAAGCCCAAAATAAAATAATTGTTTTTGTTCTCTGGGTCTTCTCTTTAGGACATGAGTTTGATTCCAGCTAACCTTGTAGATGTTTTTGGGCTCTTGATATACAATGAGTTTCCTTCGTATCGACTATCTTCTCCTCTTGTACACCATATCTTGAAAAAAGCCATTAATCCTGAAGCCATGCTGTACAAAGTCTCACAGCAGTTCAGAACACAGGATTATGAGGAGGTAACAGATTGTACACAATAGACATGCATTATATTTGGGAATATCATACTGGTTTTGGCATCAGAGGGTTCTCTCTGCACAGTCTGATTACTTATTTTTGATACTCACTTTCTGTCCTTTCCCCCCTCCCATATTCTCACTAGCACTAATAGGATCATCAAAAGAAGCAACTCTAGTTCTTTAAAAGGGTCAGCATAATAAATTCAGTTTGATCATATTTCTGGAAACCATACTAGGTTAACATTCATATGAGAACAGATCTTCTATGGCTGCTTTTGACTAGAAAAGTTTATAACCAGTAGTACAAGTTAATATTCCATTCTACATAAACTATCAGTATCTCCAGTATAATTAAGAGATGATTCCCTCAAAGTGCTCAAGGCCAGGTTGGATGGAGCTCTGAGCAACCCCATCTAGTTAAAAGTGTCGCTGCCCACGGCAGAGGAGTTGAAACTAGATGATCTTTAAGGCCCCTTCCAATCCAAACCCATCCTATGTTTACTATCCTAGATCTATCCTTATTATGTTAAAATATTTTCCCTTTTCAGCAGTCAAATGGTGACAACTGTCTCTGTTTTCTACCAATAGTTTTTATAATACTGTACAGCCTATATTACTATGCCACTGGTATGTTAAAAGGTGTGAAAAAAATTCAATTCTTTTTTTTTTTTTACAGTTAAATATTTTCACTGTATACCCTCTCTCTCTAGTTTATTTTGTTTGCTAAGAATCTTCATGTTGAACTGAGTTCAGAAGCAGAGAACCTCATTCAAGGCTACTATCTTGCAAGTCGCAGGGTGAGAAGAGATTCCGTTCATGGATCAACATTATCAGCATCTGCACTAAAAATTCTGTGAGTCCTACTTTTCACAGTAAGGGAAACAGACCTGTGTTTCAAAGAGAAATTGCACTAATCTGGTCAAGAGCTTGCTTAATAAAAATCTAGATAAGGCTCTTATGTTTTGAAAGGGTCAAGCATAAAGGATCTTATTTATCGCTTATGAATGCCGAAAGAAATCCAAGTTCAAAGAACTTTTCCAAGCAAAAAATACAATAGTGATTTGCAAAACAAGTATTATTATTGAAGCTATCTAGAAAAACAAAAATGGGATTCAAATATCCACAGTTTTATTATGGGAGCAAAACAAGTATTAACAATAGATAATATGCCAACTTCTACTGCTTTCATAGCATAATATGTATTTTGTCAGTGGTAAGTATAACTGCACAGCTGAAGTATGAAAACACTTCAGTGTTAACTTTTGATTTACACAAGTGCTTGAAACAGGGCAATACACATTGCATTCGCTTCTGCAGTATTTTTTATTTCTGACATGCTTATATTGATCTCTTAGGATTTCACTGTCTAAGGCTCATACCAAGCTAAGTTTAAGACACACAGTACTTCAGGAAGATGCTTTGATTGCCATCTTGTTACTTGAGTCATCTCTTACCCTAAAACACGGTAAATAATGCAACTCAGTCTTTAGGTTATTCATGTTTGTTAGTTTGAAAAACGTTTGTATCGATTGCAGTAATAGGTCATTTCAAATCAAAATCCAGAGTTTCCACTGTTGAAGTTGGTATTGGAAAAGTCTGTCAATTGGCTTCCCTGCTGAGCCTCAGCGCTCTACATAATTAGGCCACAGGCCAGCACCAAGTCTGTCCTTCATGCTGGTTTATTTGAGGTGTTGCTCCTCTAACACTGGTCAGGTTAAAGGATAGATTTCCCTTCTTGGAGAAGCTGAAAACAAGGGTTGGGATTTTTTAGTTTGTTTATCAAGCATCACAGTCACAGTTGTTCACACACAGCTTTAGAAACAAGGTTAGAATTATGATGTAACAGTTAAAAATGGTAACACAGAAGATTGCATTACTATATAATCTGTGTCACACTTTTTTCATCTCAAAGTACTGGCTAAAATTTATGAAGTCTTTCAGCCTAAGTCTTGATTTCTTCTTTGCTTAGGCACATCTGCATTATGTGTAGCACCAAATTCTGTATTTCCATTTGACCTCAGTGACGAAAACTCCCTGCAACAGAGAGATATTTACCTCATGCAGTGTCACCACGAACTCCTGAAGTTTATTGCGGCATATGGTCCAGGAATTCACATCAACGCTAATGAAGAGTAAAAACTCCTCTCCGTGGAGTAAAGCCTGAAGCTTTGGCTTTTTGAGAGACTATTTTATTGAGATAGAAATACAAAAATATAAAAAACTTACCAGCTGTCTAAGACAGTTCAGTGCTGTTTTATAAGGAATAAAGCATATCCAACAGGATTTGAATTGCTAGGTTTTTGACAGTGTTCTTTGAAGGCAGGAGGGATGCCTTCATCCTGGGAGGCCATGTCCCCAGAATACAGACACAATCAGAACCTCTCTTCCTGGCTACAAATGTTCATTCACTGTTAAATGAGGTCTAAGCAGGGTTTTTAGTAAGACAACTAAAATTTAACCCCCAACTTCAGAATCTAATGTTGCGCCTTTCAACTACGTGAATTCACTGCAGTTTTTTCTTGTTGCTTCTTTTCAAGTGTATCACCCAGAGGGTTAAGTAGTTTTAAGTACATTAAAACTTTTCCTAGTTTAAGCCATCTTTCATTACTCACGCTGTATAAATTTTGAAATGTATAAAAGCATCACCATAGTGCTTCATGTTTTGTGTCTTTTTTTTCATTACAGCAACATAGTATTAGACAAGGATGCCACTGTGGTCCTGCAATAAAAAAACAAAAAAAAACACCCCCCCACATGTTTCCACATCATTTTATGCAGGCTGCAGGGGATAGCAGAATGCCACAGGAGAGTGAAAGGTAATATTAGACAACCTGGTAGGCAGGTAGCTCAATGAGTTCACCTCTACTTCACTGCAAAAACAAGTGTGAAGAATGGTGTGGTAAAAGATGAGGTGTCTGAGGTACAGTATGCTTCCCCAACTATGGGCTTTTCTGTATTTCATCTTCCTAGAAAGGATATAGCACTAGACAATCCTCAGCAAGTTTTACTTGTTTATTTATATGTTAAATAAAAAAGCAGCAGTAAAATTGTACAGACCTCCTGTCAATCTGGACAAGCTGATTATTTAAGGCTTGTGTGAATCCTATACAGAATGTCATCCAGTGGTATCACAGTGCTACTGTTCCCATACCCTCAACAAAAAACAGTCACTGAAAACAGAAATCCAAGATTTTATTCATACCCACTACTAACATTGTAAACTAGCCAAGATAATGAGTTTTCCTACATGTTTTAACCCTTGCTGTATTCACTTTTAATCCATTTATTTGATACACTCAAATATTCATACCAAGTTCTAAGGTCAGTTCCCTTTCCAGAGTGACACTCTCACCTGAACTTCATTCCAGGATTATTCAGACATATTCAGCAAACAGGTACCTCTCTGCAATATTATTGAATCAAGCGGTATTTCTGAGAAGCAGGAAGGGCCATGGAAGCATTTCCAAGTGCAACAGAACTCCACATTCCAGGCTGCTCTTTTCAAGCTAGGAGCAATAATAATTTTAAAAAGTTAGTTTTCTGTACCCTTAATCCATCTTTATACAAAGTTATTACTTTCACTGGCATTTCAGATTCAAAGATACACATCAAAAACCCTTCAGATGGGTAAACGGCAAAGGTTCTCATCATTATGCCAGCAAAATAATAGACTGAAATAGAATTCCTTTATAAATCACTAGTTTTGAGAAGCCATATTAAGGAATGTGTATTCTTCAGAAAAAAACATCCTGCAAAAAGAGCACGACATTTTATCCTTACCTCTCCACAGTATCTCCCATGATCTCTCAAGCAAAAATGGGAAGACTAGCAGTGGACTCTACTGTTGGCTCTGAGTGCATACACAAGGTTGAGAGACAGTGAAGATGGTCATCTGATGTCACCTTTAAAAGAATACGTAACATCAGAAATGGCAGGAGCAAATCAAACTGTAAAAATCCTACAACTGGCTGGCACATCAGATACACCACTGCTCATCACAACATTCAGCTGGGTAAACGGCAAAGGGTCATCATCATCATGCCAGCAAGTCCCTGCCCCTGGTAAGACTGGTGTCACTTTTTCCAGGTATCAAATACAAGGGAATTGGTTATGTTTGTCTCAAGGGGTGTGCTTCCATTAGCAGAAGCAGACCCTCTGTTTTAACTGCTAAACACAGAACGAATTCAGTATAGCCAGGAACAAGACAAAAAAAGCTCTCTTTGGGCACAAAAATCCAGGACTCTCCCTGTTGTTACATTCAAGCCCCAGATGCCAAGTATCTTTCTAGAGGTAAAGTTCAGTACCGTAGTCGCTTTTCCCTTTGAAATATATTCCAAGTCTGACATGGGTAAGTGCCAGGGATGGTGATCTGAACACACTGTTCTTCACTTCAGTCTCTCACTTCCAACTAGCGTCTGTTACTGCCTCAAATCAGAACTCATGTTTCTCTCCCCAGTTAAAAACAAGTTTCTCTGATATTATTACAAAACTGTCCTTTCTGATTCCTTCAGGATTATTGGATTGCACCTGCTTTGTTCTGGGGAGCAAGTCTTAGAGATTTTATAGCTTCATAATACCTTTTGTTAGACTTTCAACCTCAACCTTACTACATGCAATCATTTGTAGTTCTGTTCCATCTGTAAGAGAATTTGCAAGCTATTGAACAGCTTCAGAACTCTAGATCTAGAAGCTTCTCTCAGTACCTTTAAGTACAGTACGAAATATTTACTTCTGTAGCTCTAGAATTCACGTGACGTCTTTCTGCTTGCAAGGCAACAGCATGGCAGAGTCCAGACTGAAGATTCCCAAAGCCAGTAACAAACTCATGTTGAACTTCACTTGATGCCTAAAACAATGAAAAGAAGCAGATGTTTGATTCAGAGAACTCCACTGCTGAGCCAGTAGCACAAAGCATTAACACTTCCTTGGGGACAGTAAGCCAGACAAAGAAATACCAACCACATGCTCCCTTTATAATTACCTGGGGAGAAAACTACAGAGAGCATCAGATGAGATCAAGGTTAAGCAGAGGCACAACCATTTTCCTAAAGCAAGCTGCAGCATGAGGAATGACTGATTGCAGGACAACTACACTGCTCCTAATGAAGACCCACGGCTGGGGAGAGGAGCACCTTGGCAGGTTACAGCCTTTAACCTCAGTTTACGTGCCACACTCAGGGGAACTCACTGATGTTTTACCACCAGTTGAGTTGAGGTCAGTGCTCGCACTGCAGTCCTGGTAGAAGAGCACTACCCCAGAGGCTGCTGAGACCCCTGAGGTCCTGTCCCTGCCAAGAACCCACCATTCTGGATCTGTGCCTACAACCCAAAAAGGGCATGGTCAGGGTCACCATACAACACTTGCCAAATTCCCTAAAGGAAAAAGAAGGTAATTTATCTTTAGAATTAGGACATGCATTTGCTGATGAGAACGATCTGTCAGCAAAACCAAGTGTCTTCAGTTGTCAAATCTGTCATTCCTTTTAAGACTAGATGAGCCAAGAGGTAGCTTGAAGTAACCACCACGGCTTTGCCAGGGGAGTGGCACACACTAATTAGGTGCATCTCAGTCTCACATGCCTGCCACACTCCTGGGAAGCCTGCGTGGGTGGAATGTGAGCACGAGCAGAGCCACTCCAGCACCCAGGCACGGACATGCTCACAACAGCATGACAGTCACTCCTCTTTCAAGTGATGGCTTTGACTGTTTAGAAAAGCGCCAGCAAACCATCCCTGCAACTCTTGAGATTACAGCCATTGCTCTGGCCTGGCAGGACGGGATTTCTCACATTAAACAGTTGGGGGCATTTCTATTTCCTTTGAAAGACTGGAGTGTCTGATTCCTCTGAAAAGACGAGCTGCTCTTCTGCTGTTCAGACGAGCATGTGCCTGGACTGCCAAGCCGAGGAACTGCTCGAAGGAGCACAGCAGAGCTCGAGTGGCTCCCACACCCCATGGGCAGCGAAACAGCACCGTGCGGCTGCCGGGGGGGTCGGCACGGCCGCCCCGGCGGAGCGGGATCACAGCATCACAGGATGTTAAGGGACTGGGATAGACCTTAAAGACCATCCAGTCCCAACCGCCCTGCCAAGGGCAGGGACACCTCCCACAGGCAGGACACCTCCCACTAGATCAGTCTGCTCAAGGTCTTATTCAACCTGGCTTTGAACACCGGCAGGGTTGGAGCATCCACAACTACCCTGTTCCAGTGCCTCACCACCCTACAGTAAAGAATTTCCCTCCAGTATCTAACCTAAATTTCCCCTCTTTTAATTTGTACCCATTTGTACCCTCTTTCAATCTGTATTCACCAGACTCGGCTTCCCAGGCTGCCGCTCCCACGCCGGAGGCCGAGGCACAGAGGAACAGCTCACAAGCCACAGAGCTGCCGCACACGGGCAACCCCCGCCCCCGAGCGCCCCTCGCCATCACGGGATCCCCGTGGAAGGGCGCTCCCGGGGAGCACGGCCACCGCAAACGCGGGCCAGGTCCCGCCGCGTCCATCCGCCCTTCCACCCACGCTGAGTCCCGGGCGGGCAGACGCGGTCGCTCCGGTGCCGATCAGCTCCACTCCCCGCCCCGGGTGCCGCGCGGAAGAGGCAGCTCCTGTGGCGGGATCTCCCTAAATACTCCGCGCGGCGGGGGCGGGACAGGCGCGCGGCGCTTTCCGGCTGCGCGCGCACAGGGAAAAGGGGAAAAGCTGTGAGTGGCGGGTTCTGCGTGTTGAGGAAGAGCAATGCGTGACCGCAGGGCACGGTGCTGGAGTTACAGCCGCGAGCACTAGGAAAAACAGGTCCCTGCGCAGCCGGCTTTATACGGGCAGGGTGTTTGCGTGTGGCCATGGGAAGTTCGCCTTCCCCATCCCTCAGAGGGAAGGGCTGTGCTGACAATAACCGAGGTCTTTTAGGTTACTCCATGAAAAATGCCACCTTTTGATAGCAATGTGTAAACATTGTACACTTTTATTCCTAAGGCCTTGCATATTGCCAGTGCTAAATGCCAAACTCCTGTATTTCAGCATACGAGGATATTAACTGCTCCTAGGAAGTGTAACATTAGAACCAAACATGTTTTAAACGAACAGGCTTAGGGGCTCTGTTGTGATCCTGGTGTGTAAATTGGTGGTAGACAAGAGCTCTCGTATTGGTCGAAGGGAGTGGGTTGCCTTGCCTGGTGTCTTGGTTCTGGAAGGAAAGGAATAAAATTCTAATGCAGAATATGTCTCAGTGAAAAAAAAAAAAAAATCCCAACTCATAAGTATGGGGAGCTCTTCTCAAATGAAAAACTGCTGCTGTAATTCTGCATATTCCTATTGGCTTTTAATAAGTCTATAAAATGCTGGTAAGGTCCTACGGATGTGGCCACAATTTCTGCAAATGTTGTGGGTACAAAGTAGCTACAATGTTTGCTGCTCCGATCCTCTGGCTGTCTTCTGAGCATTGTAAATACTCCATTGTGAATACTGCAGGGGTGGTGGAGAGCTCCAGATTTTACCGTATGTTTTTAGTGAAAGTTGCTCTGGCTAGTATTTTTGTTTTCCTTTTTTTTTTCCTAGATGTCATTTTAAAATTTAAACTGAAGTCTTCAGAAAGAAGACAGCATCTATAAATTCAGAGTATTATCATGTACCATGAGAAACTGATACTGATCTTGCAACTCGGTGATAAGTGTCAGAGTAAAGATGTGTTCTCTGTGCCATCCATTCTTAACTTTCCATGTTTTTGACCTTTACTATTGTCAATTTTCCATGCTTAATCACAGGTCAGAAAAGACTGAGTCCAACCTTTGACCGATCACCACCTT